CCCCAGTCAGGTTTAGGGTATGCTTCTATATGTTCTAACACTTGGTTTGACTAATGAAAGAGTACTTCAAAAATGTTCAAAAATCTAATTCAAGGTGTACAAATCAATTGCACCATCTATCTGTTTCACTAAATCTACACTCAGCCAACATTCCTATATTCTAAGAGACACAGAGAAGACTAACTGGAATAGATACACACAGTAAAAGGTCTTTATGTGTAAATCTTTATCTTTTCTGCTGCCATGAGGGTCTCTACTGCCTCCCTAGGCACTAAAAACATCAATAGACCAACCATTTGTTTTCTTTCAAAGCTAAGGCTAACACTACTACTTCATGTTCAATGGTTAGGTCCCAGCAACAATGGTGTGCCGATCCCTTTGAAGCAGACCGTTTTTGTCTCAATTCCGCAGAATCATTTGTATAGCGTGGGTTGGTATTTTTGTCAGTGTATTAAATGATAAATGATAAATGACCCGCACTTGCATAGCGCTTCTCAGAGTAAGGACTCCAAAGTGCTTTACACTACAGTGTATCATTCATCCACTCACACACACATTCATACACTGGTGGTGATGAGCTACGATATAGCCACAGCTGCCCTGGGGCGCACTGACAGAGGCGTGTACATGTACATCTAAGTCAATCTAAGCCTTTATTCTTGTTTACATGTAAGAAAACCAAATTATTGAATGAATTGCGTTCCACTCCGCCACGGAAGCTGGCGACGCGCACCCTTTCATGTCGTATTCTTCTGGTTAGTCTATAGCAACACAAATTGTACAAAATGCAGGAGGGAGTGAAGCAGACAGAATAAAAACAGGATATGCACAATGGCCAAAGGAATGGACAAAAACGTTGCTGCATGGCTTATTTGGTACGTGCTGTCCTGTTTGATGGTGTTGCACGTGTTACATTGTGTCGATGATATTATCAGAAGATGTTTTCCGCTGTCTCGTCACTTCGTAAGTGTCCAACCAGTACCAGCTCAGCTAAGCTGTTTACATGGAGATAAATTTGGTTTCCAACCACATTGTGTGGGTACTTCAGCTCAATTAGAAACAGTACACCTTCAGCCAGGCCAACGTGTTTACATGGATTTAAAAAATAAAAACCCGACTGCAGTCAATTTAAAACAATAGTTTGGTTTTCTGATGTGCATGTAAATACTGATTGAGAACCTCAGATAATACACAGAAGAATTAACCAGCTAAGTTATTCTGATGGAGAGAGTTGTGCCCACCGTCTATGGCAGGTCAGCATAGATGAGGGAGATGGAAGTACTTCTAAATAATGACTTTTGTGTTTCTGCATGTTGTGGAGTAATTAACGCTAACGATTAGCTTCCACTAGCTGAAACTATGCTATCGCCTGGCCGCTAAATGAACACGGCCTTCCCCTTTCACAAGTCAAAATGAGTGAGTCTCTGAATGCTAATTTACAGTAGATCTGTGTGGCCTTTTCTGACCTGAACGTTTCCTCGTCTATTTTCTATCAGCTGTTAATGCATAAAATTAGTTTAGAAGTGACTGATGTAATTTTAATAATTAGGTGAAAAAAATTATTCATAATTGAACTTCCCCTTTAACTATAACGCTGTTAGTAGAGAAACATGAATGTGACCCGTAATTTCCTATTTTTAACATGACAGACACCCAGCCAGTTATGGGATGGGTAGGCGTGGCCAGCAATGGCTTATTTGCCTAAAGTGACAGAGCCCTGAAAGGACTCATTGTGGAGGGTACTGAAAATATCAAGAATAAAGCTGTCGATTGCTTAATGGGAGTGTTTTTTGCGAAGAAAATGAATGAACATTTTTGTAAAGTCCATTGAACTGTTATTACTTTTTTCAAACAGTCACAATCCCCTTTAAAAGTGAACTGTAAAAACCTCATGTGGGATACACTCATCTCTCTGCCACGACTCACAATCTCTATTTTTACACAATCCGACGTCTCCAGCATGCTCCTTGTTGTCTTCTCTCTATGAAGGATTTTGACTGAAAGACTTACTGCAGGATTCATTCAGTTCAAACATCTAAATTAGCATCAACTGCATCAGATTGTTTTGCAGTTGTATAAAATTTAGAGGAAATTTTAAACGGAATCTGATTAATAGGGGAATGGGAAAATAATTAGTTTTGACAGGCCACTGTTCTGATCAGATTTCATGTAAGATAACACTTTTCCAGCTTTTTATTTCAGCATCACTCCAAACAGAACATCTTTGAGGCTTGGATCGTTAGGAAAACAAAACAAACCTATGAAGGATCTCCTTGAAATACAGAAAAATTGATGTTGACTTACTGGAATACATTTAGAGATCAGATAGATTATTCTAGCACCACATATGCTAAAAAAGGCAGAACTGCTGCCCAGTTTCTGCTGTAAACATCATACAAGGACTGAGAGGGTGAGTTTTAGCAAAAGCATGAAGAACAGATGACGTCTAAACAGCTGAATGCTGACAGCTTCTCAGCCAGCCAGAATAGTTTGCGCTTGTCTAGGTGGAGCCAATGAAAACCTGCACATCAGTCATTCTGTCGGAAATACGCCCTGGGATAAGATCAACTCCAGGAGGGAGAAAGAGACAGAAAGGGAGCAAACAGCAATCAGAGAGATAATGAACACAAACAAGACAGAACTAATAGAAACATGATCAGGGTCATTGTGCTAACTTGCACAGGAACATCTCCCTGGTGGCTCTGACCTCAGATAAGCTCTGTGTAATGTAGTATTTAGCAGCAACAATTCCTGTGATAGCTTTTATTCTAGGTGTCGAGCAGAAGACTAAACTCTGTAAAACACCTTTGCTTTTCTCAAACACATTCTAATCCAGAACAAGTCATAATGGATGCAGTAGGAGGTCTTCAAGGTCTCACGGTCCTACAGCCACAGTGAGGGACAATAATCATCAAAAAGCGTCTCTAAGTAACCACACTGCTGCAGCGTGACCTCCATTTGCACTGCTTGTTTTCAAAATCTTGCAAGCAAGATGAAATGTCTCTCTGACATTTTCATAGCAGTCGTAATATAATTAGACTGCATGATATGTTGTCTCCACTAGGCAGCTTTAATTAAATACTGTAAGCTTGCAGTAGAGGAGCAGTATGTGCATTTTAGATTTCATTTGCAGAAATGACTGCAGGTTTGCAGCAACATTAATTTGACTTAGAAGCTGAATCAGTAGGACATCAACAGAACAATTAGTCAACCAACACCTCTAATAATAAAGCCCAGGTGCTCCGACGTATGCCTGCTTCTGTCAGAATCACAGGCATCCTCCTTTCAATCAGCTGCCAGCTCTGGACCCCTGCAGCAGATCATCTTACCACATCACAGAAATCCTGGCTGCAAGATCTGCTAAACCTCACCTTCATAAAACATTCATCTTCATGTCTGAACAGAAAAAAGAACACATTCTGTTGCCCAAAAGGACTCTATGCTTTGGTGTCGTGTTATTACAGTTCGATAAGCCGATTTAAGCCACTGTATCAGCTGCTGTGGGACACTTCCTCTAAGAATCACATGCCCCTGTCAAGCAATAATTCATCAATTCGCAGTAATAGCAGAGTCATGCTTATTTAGCAGCCAGCGTTGGAATTTGCTGAGACCCACATTTATATTCTGCATGTTGTTTGCCCTTTACTATCTTTCCTGCTCGCTTAGAAATCCACTTATCTGCTGTGTTTGGTCACAAACAGCTGTGGCCACCTGTGTGGCTTTATGATGTGTTTTTTGCTGCAGTGCTATAGGCCTAATCTCGTTTGTGTGTGCATGTGAATTCATGCATATCCTCATGCAAGAGCACAACCATACTAATAGGAGTACATTTGGGAAGACAGGAATTTTTGACATAAAACAAGACCTCCTCACAGACATTTTCTAAATTCGTCACTCAAGCAGAAATCTCACTCGTGTGTACTTGCCAACTTTCATTAAATATATATATATATATGTGTGTGTGTCCAGATGGGGAGGACAAAGGAAGTGACAATTTTAGGTGTCATGAGGGATTCAGACAAGTTCTTGGCAGAGCTGAAGCGTCCTCAACCATCAACGCTCAGTTGCACAAAACGGTGAAGAGTGTGACAGCAGCGTGACTTAAACTAAACCCAACCCATTTGTGTGTTTTATATGTGTGTTTGTGAAGAAAAGTGCAGGCGGTCATGTTGAAAATTTGCATGATTGGCGCATCTGGGCATGAGTGCGTGCATGTGTTTGCCCCTCTGACAGCCGGCTGATTAAGCTGTTGCATAGTAATGAGCTATGGCTGTCTGTCTGGCAGCTGCTCTGAGAACCTCTTTTCACAACTCCCCCTCGCACGCACAAAGAAATGAAACAGAATCGTTAAACAAACACAACCGTAAAAGACACCACAAATGCCACCGATCGTTACTGTTGCTTAATCTTTGGGAAAAGTTGCACTACTGCAGAGGAGAGTGTGGTGATGCTTTACCCTTTGTGTTTTTCTCCTAATAACTGCCAGTCAGAAATAAGTGTAAGTTTCTGTTTGAAGTCACAGACGTCAGAGGAAATATCACAACAGAGCAGCAATTGTGCAACTTTTAGTGAAAGCCAGGTCATGTGCACCTCTCTGGGAGGCATCCACTCCTTGCCATCTATTACACATATCTATCTCCAGGGAAACTAATACATGTGTGAAAGAAAAAAGGATCAATGCACTTCTAAGGAAAAGTGTAGTGAATTTACTAATTTAGTCAATGTCTCACATTTACATAAAGTTAATAATAGTACCTTTTAAAATATGTACACAAATAACCATAAAAACGTGTTAGTTGCTGAAAAAAATACTTAAGATTTAAGGCAAATTTATCAGAAATTACTTAATTGTCTCATGGTATGAGAATGAATTAGAGAGGAAAAAGGCAATCCTGACAAAGTGCCGGGGGGGGGGGGGGGGGGGGGGGGGCTAGGGACCCCCTTCATTGGGTCTAGTTAATGCCAAACACACGAAAGGTAATGCATATCCGTCGCCTTACCTTGTTGATGTCCCCTTCCTGACATCACACATCATGCACTTAAAAGCCTCTGCCGTGTTCTTGTAAGTGCACACGCTGCAGTCCCAAAACCCCTCGTCGGAGGGCTTCGGTTGACGCTTCGGCCTTTAAAGACAATAAATGTAAAAATAAACAGAAAAAAGGAGGGAATCATTAGGCGAAGAGAGGGGAGATGTACGGGGAAGGAGAGGAGAAGAGACACGAGAGTTCGGCTCTCCTCCGAGGAGGCTATCGACGGCAAACATCTGCCTATAGGATTTAGGAAATCATCTGCGAGCGCGCGGTGATCTGACACTGTAATTACCGATGAGGTCGTTACACCCGCGCGCGGGTACACCGCACGCGCTCATATACACATAGCACAGAGCGCGAGACCGTAGAGAAAACCCTTTTTTTCTCTTCCTCTCCCCAGTGCGCTTTCTTGTGTCCGCTCCCCTCCCCCAGGTAAAATATTTACGACACACTCGCGTGGCACTTACCTTGTGGGGCTTCTCTTGTCGCCCATGCCAGACCAGGGTTTATTTGGAGGAGCTGAGACGAGCAGAAGTCTGGTTATTTCAAATTATTTTAGCAAAGAAGCGGTCCGCCTTTGCCGCTCGGCTTCCAGCTGTCGTGGAAACTCCGCTTGGGAAATACGCACGTGACTCCGCGTGGCCAATCAGAGGTCGGGTTACTTCCCGAGGCTGACATTCCTCATCATGAATCAATGACCCCTTCATGGACAAGCTCGTACATTTGTAAATTTTCGCTAACTGTTCACATTGTACTATCGTTTTTATTTGTTGACCCCACAAATGCGAACCAGAGCACCTGTCACAACATAAGCCGAGGATTTATTCGCATCATGCACATAAACGCGTTACAGAGGCTGAAAAAATTGATCATAAAGATTTAATTTAAAATCACTAACATGTAGCGCACTAAACGCACCCTTTAGTTTTTTCCCCCACCTTTGTGGTTTACAATAATCCATTATTCTAGTTGAATGAGGTGAAACGCCTCGTGTACAGCGATTATCCATCCTTCTAATCTTCATGTTTACAAATCCGACCACGAAAACAAATGCGACACGGGACAGTTTTTCTTTTTATGCGTGGCTGCATAAATGAGGGATTCCACTCACATCAGATCGCTACCACGAATCCTTTAATGCTCCAACCTCGCTGCGTTTGCCTCACACCAGACAGCCTGCACACACCGGGGCAACCCACGGCTCATTTTACGTGATGATGCAGAAGATACACTTGGAGGCAATCACAAAGGATGCCAGAGGTCCCCCAAACGTTTAAGTCAAGGACAATATGTGAATGGCTCCATCATCTCCAGATCAAAAGGATTCCATGGAGGGAAATCCTTGTAATTTCAAATTTTTATTCCTGTTATTGACACTTGCTTGGTTTTATCAAAGCAGTAAAGTAAATCTATTTAAAAGAATAATGATAGAGGGATTTTTTTCACATCCAAATGAAACACAAAAGACAACTCTAGTGACATTTTTACATATATCTACATGGCTGAAGTTTTTAATGTCTCTGCAGGTCGTTATCAGTCACTGAGCTCTTCCTCATCGCTGAAGTATGCGCTCTTTTTGATCCTCGGTTTCTTAGAGTCTGACGACGTAGAGGCACGTGCAGCATCCCCTTCTGCCTGTCTCTTTCGATTTTTATCCTCTTCCTCCATACGAGCTTGCTGGAAAGACAATCCACACAGAAAACAAGCATCAACAACACAACAAACGTGTTTGTGGACTCAGACATATGCAAAAAGCAGGTTTTTTTCCCCATTTCTGTCTTTCTTAGGCTCTCACTGATAGTCAAGACTGTTTCATTTAGATCTCAAGAACTTTGAAGGACAACACGCCCACCTGTTCATGTATGTAAGATTATATACTTTTATTTTCCATTCCAGACTGCCTCATCAGTGAAGGAGGAAGTTTGCTTTTACATCACATACACGAATACTCAATTTCTTCTAAAAGTATACTTTTTAAAGACTTCAGTTCTTTTCAGATTAGATTATCAATTTCACCTTTCAATAACCGACATGGGTGTTAGGGGCAGCTGTAGCTCAGGATCAGGTTGTCCAGTAATTAGATGGTTGCAGGTTCGATCCTGGCTCCCGCCAGAGATTGCTGCTGTTGTGTCCTTGGGCAACACACGTAACCCACCTTGCCTGCTGGTGGTGGTTGGATGGACCGGTGGCACCAGTGTTCAGCAGGCCTCGCCTCTGTCAGTGCGTCCCAGGGCAGCTGTGGCTACATCGTAGCTCATTCCCACCAGCGTGTGAGTGGGTGAATGACTGATTGTGCTGTAAAGCACTTTGGGGGGTTGTAGAACCCTAAGAAGTTGCTATACAAATACAACCCATATCCTATTTAACATTTACGTGTGACTTCTTTGTGAGACCTTCGTGACTCAGTAATAATCAGTTTGTATCAAACCACTTTTTAACTAATTATTTATCACTTGAGTTACTTTATGTATTATGCTTTGGACATGATGTTAACACACAGATAAGAATTATCTCTGACTCACGCTCTCTGAAAGTGGGTCTGCAGCACTGTAAAGAACCAGCTTGGCAGTATTTGACAGTATTTTCTAAATGGCAATAACATAGAAAATCCCAAACATGAATCATAATGATATAATCTATGGTTGTGTTGTAGGATTAATGCACTTAAAGTTATAAAGTGTTGTTGATTCAGAAACAACTTTTAGCAGCATGAAATCAAATGTGTGGCCTGCAAAAAAAATGCCATGGAGACCAGTGCATGTTAATGTGATCACCTTGGTTATAAAACACATCTGTCAGTGACACATTTTTAACAGACCAAGACTGACACTTTAAACAAACTAAACTAATCTGAGTGTGATCTGAATCTGCCTTGCCAAGAGCAGATTTACTGCTCGTACAGGACGAGTATGAGGTTTTGCTCTTGTCGTGTAGATAACTTTACTGGAACTGTGCCACAATACACCCCAGAAGACTAACATTAAACAAGGGAGAAATAAAGGGAGTGGTGGTAAAAGGAAGAATGGGAACAACACATGAAGAACAAAACAATGCTGAGCTAAAAGGAAAGTAATAAGTAAATATGTTCTGATTATGTTTGTTCATTCATTTAGTGGATACTTTTATCCAAAGCAAGGGGTTTCTCCATAGTAACCATGCATGCACTGGGAGGACATGCAAACTCCATGCAAAAAGGTCTCATTCAGGATTTTGAACCTGCAACCTTTTTGCTGCAAGGCAACAGGGCTTACAACTGCACCAATATACACTCCCCTAAAGGATTATTAGGAACACCACACTAATAGTGTTTGACCCCCTTTCACCTTCAGAACTGCCTTAATTCTACGTGGCATTGATTCAACAAGGTACTGAAACCATTCTTTAGACATGTTGGCCCATATTGTTAGGATAGCATCTTGCAGGTGATGGGAGATTTGTGGGATGCACATCCAGGGCATGAAGCTCCCGGTCCACCACATCCCAAAGATGCCCTATCGGGATGAGATCTGGTGACTGTGGGGACCGTTGTAGTACAGTGAACTCATTGTCATGTTCAAGAAACCAATTTGAAATGATTGGAGCTTTATGACATGTTGCATTGTCCTGCTGGAAGTAGCCATCAGAGGATGGGTACATGGTGGTCATGAAGGGATGGACATGGTCAGAAACAATGCTCAGGTAGCCCGTGGCATTTAAACGATGCCCAATTGGCACTAAGGGACCTAAAGTGTGCCAAGAAAACACCCCCCACACCATTACACCACCACCAGCAGCCTGCACAGTGGTAACAAGGCACGATGGGTCCTTGTTCTCATTGTTTACTCCAAATTCTGACTCTAACATTTGAATGTCAACAGAAATTGAGACTCATCAGACCAGGCAACATTTCACAGTCTTCAACTGTCCAGTTTTGGTGAGCTCGTGCAAAGTGTAGCCTCTTTTTCCTATTTGTAGTGGAGATGAGTGGTACCCGGTGGGGTCTTCTGCTGTTGTGGCCCATCCGCCTCAAGGTAGTGCGTGTTGTGGCTTCACAAATGCTTTGCTGCATTCCTCGGTTGTAATGAGTGGTTATTTCAGTCAAAGTTGCTCCTCTATCAGCTTGAATCAGTCGGCCTATTCTCCTCTGACCTCTAGCATCAGCGAGGCATTTTCGCCCACAGGACTGCCGCATACTGGATGTTTTTCCCTTTTCACACCATTCTTTGTAAACCCTAGAAATGGTTGTGTGTGAAAATCCCAGTAACTGATCAGATTGTGAAATACTCAGACTAGGGCTGTCGCGGTAACCGCAAAAATGAAATATCGCAATATGAAGAAGCCCACCGCGCTGCATCATGGGCCACCGCGATTACTGAACTTGGTTCAACTCAATGATGCATGTTGAGAAGGATGGCTGCACTGGTATCAAAACGAAACGTTACTTCGCTCCTTTGGGAGCACTTTGGTTTTCAGTACGTCAGCTGCTGCGCAGCCAGAGTCCTTGGCCGAGACAGAGCAGCCACCAGCGGCAAAAAAATAATAATAAACGCTCGGAGACCTCCTGAAGTCCCGGACAAGCACTGCTTCTGCAACCGTCCCGAAGAGAGTTTGAGCCGAGCTGGAGCTCACTCGCTACCTGCAGGAGGAATGCATCCACCCCTGACATGGTGGAGCAACAACCGGGAGAGATTCCCTTTGCTCGCCAGAGTCGCACGCAGGTACGTGTGCGTTAGCGCAACGAGCGCACCATCCGAGAGGGTTTTCAGTGTTGCTGGAAATGTTGCCACCCCTCTCAGACCCTCTCTCAAACCGTATATGGTTAACATGCTGGTTTTCCTTGTAGGTAACAAGGACGTGACCGAGCTATAAATCACCGTCATTCGTGTGTGTGTTAAAGTGAAAGTGAAATGATAGTGCGGCCGCCCCCCGGCGCGCGCGCGCCCGGTACATGTAATTTTTTATGCTTGATTTTAAACAACTAAACAAAATGGGGACTTGTTTCTTATTTGTTATAACAAATGTTTGGCTGCAGCATCTATAGATGCTGCAGCCAAATTTGCATTTAAAAGTTTAACCTCCTGAATTTTGTTGTTTTTAAGTTCAGTCGGACTCCAACTGTCGGAGAAACAAACGTTACTGCGATCTGTGTTGTTACTGCCCTTTGATCTGCATTCAGTAAAGTGTTATTAAAGAAGGCATGGCAATTTTTAACCTTTTTTAAATGTGTAAACATTATGTTTAGATAGTACTGCAATTAAAAAAAGGGCTGCAATAATATCGCACACCGCAATATTAAGCCACCCTGAATCACCGCAGGGGGAATTCCTCAACCGCGACAGCCCTAACTCAGACCGGCCTGTCTGGCACCAACAACCATGCCACGCTCAAAATGGCTTAAATCACCTTTCTTTCCCATTCTAACATCCAGTTTGGAGTTCAGGAGATTGTCTTGACCAGGATCACACCCCTAAATACATTGAAGCAACTGCCATGTGATTGGTTGATTAGATAATTGCATTAAGGAGAAGCCAAACTGGTGTTCCTAAAGCTTGGTTTATGCTTGACGCATTCACTTTCCGCACGGTGATGCGGCTCGCGGCTGGAACGCGCTTCACAACTCGCAGCTTTTATGGTTCGTGCGGCTTGTCTCTGCGGTGAGCCAATATTCTCCCAAACTGAACGGGGCAGCATGGAGCTCTATGGCATGCGCCCAACACTACACCATAGTAGAAGTAGAAATGACTGTTTACAACATGGTATTTCAGCATTTTTTAACAGCGTTCTCATCTTTTCCGACAGTGCGAGCTATTTCTCTCCAAGAATTATTAACAACATGTTGATCACAGTGATCTCTTGAGAGCTGAATCATACAAATGTCTGTATTTAAGAACCTCTGCCATACTAGTTCTTGCCGGTCCGCCACGTTTTTCCGCGTCCGTCCGTCCGCGTGGTTAGAAATTTTCCGAGGTGCGCGTTGCGGAAATTCTGGGCCGTGCGGAGGCGCGGTGGAGGGGCGTGGTTGTTAAAATGACGCAACTTTTCCGCGCGGAGCCGTGCGGACCTCGCAGACACCTTAATACTCCTTTAGGTGAGTGTATATGCTATAGCTGATCTCTTGTGTTTAAGTTGCGAGCCAGACATGCAAATGTAAACTCTTATTGTGACACTTTGAAATTCAAATGTTGTTTTGTAGTTGACTTACCTGAAAAGCTATGGCTTGACTTAAACTATCTAAGGCTGGGTCTTCTCCTTCTTCTTCACTTTCTTCATCTTCTTCACTAAAAAAAAGAGGAAGATTTTTTTTATAAAGACAAAAAAAAATGTCTCAGTCTCTGAAAACCAAATACATACACTAGCTCAGGTTGCTGTGCCTTTTTCTTCTTTTTCTTCTCTTTCTTCTTTGGTGGGTCCCTCTCTCCAAGCATGTTTTTGGGACATGCATAACTCAGATGTCCTGTATCCTGAAAATGGTTTGTTCGTAAATTCATAAACACAATTTCTTCCACAAATGTGTCTATCTCACAAAACATAAAGTTAAGCACTGACTCCACATTCGTAGCATCGTGACTTGTCGACGTAGTTCCGTCTTCTGATGAATTCAGTTGCTCGCCCATTGTCTATGGCAATGCTGGCTTTAACTGTTCTTCCAAACAACTAGAAGACAGATGCATTTATGTATAGCAGTCTGTTCATAGTGACAATCTGCATGTGAATTGAAAACTAACATCACTAACCTGTTTGTTGTGCACTGCTCTTGCACAGTTGTGAGCCGACTCTCTGTCTAGGAACAGAACAAATGCCACTCCTTTACTCTGGCGAGTGTCTTTATCCTTCACAATCGTAACCCTGAAAGTAGCAATTACATTTGTTATATGTTCAAAAACTACAAACAACATTTTTCTTACTTCTTACGAATCACAACTTACTTTACAACTTTTCCATATTTGGTAAACAGCTGCAAAACATTAATCGGTTGTAAAGTTAAAATGCTGTTTTTGTGTCTTTACACTAAACTTTTGTAGAGTTATATCAGCCTGATTTACCTTATGTAGGTCGTTGTTGGTCAGTGAGAACGGCAGGTTCGACACATACACAGTACTTTTGCTAGGTGCTAAACCTCCACTCATGTTGAACCTGAACACGCAAATTTTATTTTAAAAAGAAAATACATCCGAGTGCTCATGGGCCTGTGCAACAGCTACAGGGAAATGTCTAATTCTACGTTGTAAAAAATTACTAGTTTAAAAATTAAACGTAACAACGCAGCTATAACAAATTTTGAATAAAACAAGGTAAGATTTCAAATTATTAGCAAACAGAAACAAACGCCATGTTTGCGTCGCGGCTTGATGACGTTTTGTCCTCATTAAAAAGACGTTAGCCTAGCAACTGGAAAAGAGCTAAACGCGCTAAAGATACTAGAAGGTGAGATTTATTTGTTTTTGTGGGATTTCTTTTTTGACTAAAATAAAGGTTTTTGTCTACTGTTTCATTCGCTTTTATCAAGCGAAGGCCACACTTGTTTGTAAATATGTGCTTGGAGTATTTTCATGGCAATAACGAGGAGCTAGCTCGCGCTTCACGGCAAATAAAACGTGAGCGTAGACGGCGGTTAGCTAATTAGCTTTTCTTGTTATACTAAATGCAGCTTGTTGTAAATCCACTATGTTGATCTGCTGCTGTAATAGCTAAGTGTTAAAATGTGGTGCTTTGCAGTGTAGGTGTTCTTTGTAGGCATCCAACAGAAGCAACGGTCAAGTCTGCAGAAACTTACGCCGGTTGAGTCAATGGCTGGATCACATTTTAAAAGAGTAGGATTATTATTTTGAATCATGGCTTATTAGAGTCGTTCTTAAATTGTGTTTTTACGCTTTTAACCGATTTTTGTCTGTCTTAAATTTGCTTATTTACCATCTGTCATCAGAACGGTCACAATCATGATCAATAACACTATAAAAATCTCTTTCCAGATTGTTTTGACGACAATCTCTGAGGTACTTAAGTCAGAGAGTAAGTAGGTCTTTACATTACATTCTTCTCACAACATTTTAAAAATTAACGAACAAGCCCTCATTTAGCTTTAACATTTATTTAATTGTAATAGCTAGTATTAATACAATATAAGTTCATTTATACATCTTTCTGTATGAGTCGCGAAGGATGGAGGCCAAAATTTGAAGCTTTCTCTTGATAAAACATATATGATTTGTTAGTTAACTATATGTTTAACTATAATAGTGTAAGCCCAAGTCTTTGCACATTTTCTTGTATGTCTCACATGTAGTCTGCTTCCTCCAGTGACATACAGAAGAGACAGAAGTGTACGAGACGTGTATGATGAACGCTTTTTACCCGAAAGACCAGTGAGTGTTTTTTAATATTATATTCTACAACTTATTGTGAAGGCACAGGAAAAAACAACAACTATATATTCATGTACTAAAGAAATGATGTTTACTCTTATAAAAGGGTCCTTACCAACGGCCATCAGCGGCTGTGGAGAGGAGGGGCCCCTTTAGCAGGCCAGAGGATGAATACAATCGTACTGGGTATGAATATGAAGGAGGTCCCCGTTTTTACCCAAATGGAGGTGGCCCTCGAGGTTACCATGAAGATCAGAGAAGCTATCAAGGTGATGGTCATTTTCCTGAACGCAGAGCCGGTCCACCAGCAAGAAGGGTAAGATTTTTAATGTTATTTAATTGATTTCTGTATCCACTTTAATGAAAATAATAAACAAATATGTAATTATTTAGCACTAGCCGGGCCATTTGAACGATTCACAAATGATGCAGTCAAATCTGTAGCTGGAAAAAATGGTAAATAAAAGTGATCTAGGGCCTCATTCAGCAAACGTTTGTAGAAACTTTCCTGTATTCTTTCCTATGAATAAGAAAAATCCACCTATTTGTACCCAGGTGCTCGTGTTCATCCATCATCATTTACATACAGAAATGCTATCAATTAAACATAGTTCGTCACACCATGCCCTCAGCTCATGAGGGGATTCCCTGGCTTCTTCTTAAAAAAACAAGCAAAGAAAACTTTATTGACAGTAAGATGGAGGCACTGGCTGCCCAAGTGCAGGAGGACCAAATGCGTTACAGAAAGTGTAAACATGGTCGAGATAGAGGACGGAAAAAAAGTGAATATTATAATTTGTAGAGTTGTCATTTAAATTTGACATTTTCAGAGTCGTTCTGTTTGGAGTTAGTTTTATGTGGAAATGTTGTCTGAGAGTGCAGCCTCGTCTGAGCTGTCATTCAGTCTGGTTACCTTGACAGCGCGTGTATGATCAGAGAGCAGAGGATGGTTCTGGTAGTTCTGAAATAGAACATGGACTGAAATCAGATTTGTGTGTTTTGTCTGTCGCTCCGCAAATGGTCCCAAATTATGGCATAGCACCAGAACGATCTCCTTCAGGAATCAGATCAGTGCGCTCACGGAGGACGTGTTGCCTCTGGAGTGCATGCTCTGTCAGATTCTCCAATAAAAACAAGAAGAATAAACGATCTTTTATAAAGCACCTCTCAAGATAATGATCACGGGGTGCTTTACAAGAACTATAATATATAAGTCCTAATTAATTAATAAAGAATTAAGAAAAAACAAAGTGGGAAGAGTAAAATTGTGATTGGAAGTAACACACAATCAGCCATGCAACAATGTCGGATTCCCATCGGTCACATGTGTCTTTTTTTATGTTTCAGCGTCAATTATGTGTCAGCTGTTTTTCCACCAAAATCATTATTTAATAGGTAAAAGAATTTGTGGATGACTGAGATCTTCGGTATTACGGGAAACAACTAAAACATGCTGCTTTAGAGCTTTTGAACATCCCAAACTATTTAAAATCTTAATTTAATTTATCATCAAAGCTGAAGGTCTTTAGGTCATAAAGAAGCTTCAGATCTACTGCCGGTCTCTTGGGGGAGTTTGAGGTTATGTGAGGATTCTCTAAAGCTGTGGTTCCTGACCTTTAGGACCTTTTTTCCTTTGTCCTAGCGAGGACCCCCCCCCCCAACCCTGAAATCTACATTTTATACAGATATACAGAATTTTAACTCCCCTGCATATAGTACTGGGTGTCTCATTGAGATTTTATGAATGTAATTTTTACAAATCTTGCTGACCTCAGCTCAGACAATTTTGTGAGCCCCTCTTGGCGTGTCACGGACCCCAGGTTGGGAACCAGTGCTGTGTTGAACCCCTCTAATATGACAGAAAAAATCCTCATGTATAGAAATAAGACACTAAATCATTCATTTCAGCAGCCGGTGATAATATTTTGGTGTATTGTTACCATGGACATACATTAATCCCGTTAGAATCTGACTACTGACACAAGACAGAATAACTTTGATTACTTTTAAGATTCATACGCACACGTTTGTCGCTGATCTGTGAAGGAACTATTAATGCAGAATGCTGTAAATGATTTGAATACCCGTGCTGTTATGTAATTTTTATGTAAGTTCAGAGCTTGTGCTACATGATGCCAGTTCCCTCTAGTGAGCCAAATGTTTCTGTCTAAAATTAACACCCTCCCAAGGGTTGAATGCTATTAAATTTAAGGGTTTGGCAGATAAACACACTGGATTCACAAGGCAGGTGGCTGATAATTAAGAACTTCTTACAATGTGCTGCTTTCTTTGATTATTTTCAAAATGAGTTTATTTAAGGCAGTGTTATTCATTAATAAGGGTGTTTTTTATTTAAATGGAAACAGAATAAATCTTTAACTTTTGGGGTATTTTATAAATTGTCAATTTTTAATTGGTGCTAATGATGTGTTTGCATAACATCAAATACATTTTATCTTCTTGTTGTTGTGAAGGAGGATTATCCTTACAGAGTTCCCAGAGAGGATCCTCACACAGGGCGACCGTTGGAATTTAGGTAATCGTCTTCTACGTTTCTTAAATGCCCTAATGTTAGATTTTCAGGAAACCAGTGTCTGCAAAATGTACCTCAACCATGGTTTCCTTAAACAAGAGGGAGAATGTTTTTGCTTTACACTGCAGCCTTGTATCTGCGTAAAGGTGTGGAACACCGAACATTTTTTATGATTATTTCTGATTATAATCGGTCATTCTGAGATTGTAATGCAAGTTGAACATGAAAATGGTCTCCTTCACCTATCTCCCACATTAGCTTCTGATAGAAAATAGAAGGTGAAACTCTAGGATTTGAAAAGGCTGACAGATGTACGTCACACTGTCACTTAACAATTATGGACTCACCCTTTTTAGGTGTGTTCTTGCTGTGTCGTATCTCTAATTCCATGCTGTATTTCTTTTTTAAAACACAAAACTGCTTTGTGTTTTAAAAAAGAAATACAGCATGGAATGGACTCACCCACCTTGACTCATGACAGGGAAGGCTGTTGTTGGTTTAGCGTCCAGGAATCAGCAGAAAACATCTTGGCTAGTAGAAGCTAACTGTTAGCATTAGCAACACAACAACATGTCAGACCTTCTCCAGGATTGTGTTATTTATGGGGATAAAACATTAACGTTGCAGAGTAGAGTCAGTGATAGTCACATTGCTGTTACCCAATCAGAGGCAAGATGTCCAAATATCAGGAGTAAGACTCCAAATCCTGTCATCTGAAGCTCTCATCTAATTTGACAATTGTCTAGTACCTCAGACTTGTGCACTGGTGATTTTTTTTTCCCTAGAGTACAACTTATAGGCATTCATTTGTACTAGAAACTGCTGCAAATGTATTGATTAACAAGTGTTCCACACCTTTAATTACTTTATGTTAAATGAATTGTAAATCATTTGTTCCCGACCTTTATCAAATTATGACATTCTCCTGTTTTGGTTTTTATCCCTAAAAACAACTGATTTTGTTTTGTTTTTTTCCCCTTAGTGCCCGTGCACCACCTCCTCACAACGTGCGAAGTCAGGGCATCTATCTAGCACCCAGATCACTTCCAGAAAGCGGGGAAGATACATTAGTTCAGGCCATCCGGAACCTGGACAGAGGGTACGAGTAAAGGCGCTGCTTAGGCCGTTCTTTGTTTTAAAGTGACTGTGTGTATATTTTCCCTGGCGATAGGGAGCAGTACATACTCAAATCAATGCAAGCAAGCATTACTTTTATGTTCAAGTAAGACCTTACCAATGAATGGCCATTAGGGTAAAACACCCCAGGGAGCACAACCTCCAACAAAATTCAATTCAATTCAAGTTTATTTAAATAGCGCCAAATCACGACAAGTGTCGTCTCAAGGCACTTTACATAGTAAACATCCCAATACAGGTCAGTTCATTAAGCCAATCAGAAAAAAGTTCCCTATATAAGGAACCCAGCAAATTGCATCAAGTCACTGACTAGCGTCACACATGTACCAAGTAGTGTTTCTATGGTAACATTGTGATTTCTTAGTAAATATTCTATTTGGTGAGAGATAAACTTTATTGTATTTATCCTAGTGAATCTATAAATAAATGGGTAAACTAGTAGTGGCACACTCAATGTCAAAGAAAGTAAAATGTTATCAGGAGAGGGAGAATGTTTAAGTGGTTAGCAACAGTGTTCAAGCTGATGGTCCCCTCCATGAGGTCACCGCAGTTCAGCAGAACGACATTGTAGCTTCTTCTGGGAAGAAAAACACTTAAAGAAAAAATAAAGTTAACAGCTGAAATAGCAGGAAATAATCCAGTTAAAGAGAAATTGTAGAACAAAGTAGTAGAGTGTGGAAAGTGGTCAGTGTGTCCTCCAGCAGTCTAAGCCTATAGCAGCATAACTACAGAGATTACTCTGGATCCAATCCAATTTTATTTATATAGTGCATTTAAAAACAGCATGTCAGCTAACCAAAGCACTGCACAGAGTTCAACCTAAAAAGCCATTCAAATTCACATACATATACATAAAACACAAATTAAAAACTGTCATAAAATAGAAACACCTAAAATCAAAACAAAAGTTAAAGCAGCCAATAAAAACAGAAGTCAATAAAAACAGAAGTCTGTAAAAACAGAAGTTACAAAAAACGTTACAAAAAAACGGAACAGAGGCACAGCATAAAAGAACGATCATTGGCCAAAAGCTAAATTAAAGAAATGTGTCTTTATGCTGGATTTAAACTGTGCCAGTGAGGAAGCCTGGCGTACCACCAGAGGGAGTGCGTTCCAGAGTCTGGGAGCAGCAAAGGCAAACGCACGCTCCCCACGAGCTTTATATTTCATTTTAGGGACTTTGAGCAGTAGATGGTCAGCAGACCTTAGTGACTGGGGGGGGGGGGGGGGGGGGAGCTCTGACAAGTATAAGGGGGCTAGACCATTCAGGGCTTTGTAGGCAAAAGTTAGAACTTTGTATTGTATTTGAAAGTGCACAGGAATCCAGTGTAGATCAGCCAGAATGGGATTGATGCGACAGTGTCCATTTGTATTGGAAAGAAATCTTGCTGCAGCATTCTGGACTTTCTGCAGACGATTTAGGACAGATACATTTGCGCCAATAAAAACTGAGTTGGAAAAGTCGAGTATGGAAGTGATAAATGCATGGATAACAGAAGTGCGGCCTCTTAAGAATGGGCTTTAGTCGGGTAAGGCGACGAAGCTGGAAGAAGCAGGATCGAACAGTGGCATTAACATGTGCACTCATTGACAAATCAGTCAATAAATAACCTAGCCTTTTAGATGGAGGCATGTTGGAGGCAGGGCAAGGGAGAGCCGTCTTTACCGACTGTACACTCCACCTCCCTCTACTCCCCCACTTTTCCAGATCTGGGCTAATGTCAGATTTTAACCATAGGCCCTATCAAATAAAAATGTTATAAGCCTGGTCTTAAAAGTAGACATGGTGTCTGCCTCATGGACTAAAGCTGAGTGTTGGTTCCACAGGAGAGGAGCCTGAAAGCTAAAAGATCTGGCTCCCATCCTATTTTTAGATATTCTGGGAACCACCAGTAAACCTGCAGTCTGAGAGTGAAGTGCTCGGTTAGGAACGTATGGAACAATCAGATCACTGATGTATGATGGAGCTTGATATGTGAGAAGGAGGATCTTAAAATGTATTCTGAATTTAACGGGTAGCCAATGTAGGGAAGCTAAGACAGGAGAGATATGATCCCTCTTTTTAATTCTCATCAGAACTCTAGCTGAAAGCATTTTGGACAAGCTGAAGACTTTTAACTACATTTTGTGGACTTCCTGAGAGTAATGAATTACAATAATCCAGTCTAGAGGTGTGAATCTTCACTTGTGTCCCGATTCGATTACGATTATTGGGTCAACGATTCAATTTGATTCGATATCCCGATGCATCACGATTATTTCATATTGATATGTTTTCATCGACAAATAGAAGATGTCAGATAATTGCTTTTATTTATTTATTTATTTATTTATTTATTTATTTATTTATTTATTTATTTATTTATTTGTTCATTTATTTCAAAAATGTAATTGACACAACCTGCCATCCCTCAAAAGCTCTCCATTCACAACAGGTTAGGACAAAACATTTTAAACTTTTAAGAAGATTTAACAAAGTAAAACAATCTGTTTCCTCGCTCAACAGCCACACCTCAGGCTGAGAAAAACACGCTTTGCAAAAACTCACAAAATCTGAAAAAATACTGAAAACCTACAGGACACATAATGTAATAATAAAATACATAATGGGTTCATATAGGAGTGTTTACTGTCTCTGAGCAGCTCTAGAGTCATATTTATGCCACAGTTCAAGGGTGTCAGAAATGACACCAAATGAAATGTTTGACTTAGGCCTAGTCCACACGTAGCTGTTTTTTTTTAAACGAATATCCGCCACTCCAAAAACTTGCATCCACACCCCCGCATTTAAAAAAAAACTGTCCACACGTACCCGGATAAATACGTTGTTAAGGACATGCCAGACCTGTAGGCGGCAGTACTTCCCCCGTTCTTAACCTCGTCCTTCGTCTGTGGTCTTCCGCAAGGAGCAGTAATTCCTCTTGCAAAAACAAACAAGCAAAAAGCGCTTGGACAATTGATAAAGCAAGCGCAGCTCTGAGGGCATCCATGCTGTCGGCTAGTGTAAACACAGGTCGCACACGTGATGTCAGCATTTTTTTGTCGCGGAAAGTGACGTTGCGGACCTTAAAACTCCGGTTTTGTCTGTCCACATGCAGACACCCAAAACGGAGAAAACGCAGATCTTCACTTTGGCCGGAGTTTTTAAAAAGATCCGTTTTTGTGTGAAAAAACTCAGTTTTCGTGTGGATGACAGGCCAAAACGTAGAAAAATATCTACGTTTTGGCAGATCCCCGGCTACGTGTGGACAGGGCCTTTGTTTGTTATTTTATTTGAACCCAGTGGTTCATTTCTGAAACGTTGGGAGAATGAATCAAGTTCTGCTTGATGCAGAAAATAATAAAACCTAAAACAAATTCTACAATTCCAATAATATTTAAGATGTGTGTTTTATTCTTTTTGATAATAACACCAGCAGAAGGCTGTGGGCTGGATTAGGATTAAATTACCCAGCTGATGGATCTCTTTCACCAACCAGCTAACTACAAACATCTCCACTACCCTGTCCTGTGTAACCCTCACCATGTGACCCTCATGTCCATGCTGTCTCTGGAGGAGCTGATAAGAGAAAGACCTCTGGTAACCTAAAATGAACCAAAGCTTCTTCCCAGTTTTTTTTAATTGAATTTAACATCAGTTTATCATCATGAAACAAAATAATAAAGTGGAACAAGAACTTCTATCTTCTATTTCCCTCTCCTTTTAACTTCTCTGTGTCCCTAAATAAAAGAGACAGACTATCAAGCTGCAGCTGCCGTCACTGACCCCGCCCCCTCCCCAAGACCGGATCTCCCGGCATCACAACACTTGGTCTGACTGAGCGCTTCCAGGAGGAACAATAATTAAATTATGAAAATAATAATGTGTTTGGAGCATCGGTTTGGAGGAAAGTCCTCCGATCCTCTCTCTCTTTCTCTCTCTCTCTCAGTTGCTGTGCGAGCGAGCGGAGCGCTCCGCGTGACAACCCACTCAATTAACATAATTCACAGCCCCAAACCAACAGAACCGGTCGGGCTGATTCGGTTCCGATTTGGTCTCAGGTTACAACTCTAGCGCTCAGCCCGTGGAACCACTTGGTAAATGTGGAGGACACTCACTCTGACAGATTTGGATGCTGCGCTGGTGCCGCCATTAAAAAAAACAAAACTACATTCCACTATAATCGATGATGGCGCACTCTTCTACAATGCAGAATCGTTTATGTCCGCATCCCGATGCATTGATTATTTGATTATTTTCCTCAGCTCTAATCCAGTCTTGATGTAATAAATGCATGAACTAGTTTTTCAGCATCACTCCTGGAAAGGATGCTTCTAATCTTAGCAATATTCCGAAGGTGGAAAAAGGAAATCCTACAAACCAGTGTAACGTGGGATTTGAATGACATGTCCTGGTCAAAGATAACACCAAGGTTCCTTACTTTGTTCTCGGAGACTGATTTAATGCCATTCAGGTCAGGTGATTGACTAAGCAATTTCCTTTTCCGAATTTCAGCTCCAAAGATGAGATCTTCAGTCTTGTCTTGGTTTTAAAGCAGAAAGATTTAAGTCATCCAATTTTTTTATGTCTTCAAGACAAGCCTGTAATCTAACTAACCAATTAGGTTCATCAGGGTTAATGGATAGATATAAGGTGGTATCGTCAGCATTACAGTGCAAGTTTATCCCATGCTGTCTAATGATTTTACTATATTTATACTATTTTTACTTGGAAGCATATGTATAGTAAAAAGAATTGCTCCAAGTACTGAACCCTGTGGCTCTCCACAAGTAACCCTGGACTATGAAGAAGATTTGTCATGCACATTTAAAAAATGAAAGCTATCAGACAGGAAGGATTTAAACCAGCCTAGCGCTGTTCCTTTGACCCCTACAAGATGTTCAAGCCTTTCTAAAAGAACGTTGTGATCAACTGTGTCAAAGGCAGCACTGAGATCTAACAAGACTAGAACAGACACAAGATTCTTATCTGAGGCCATGAGAATATCATTTGTAACTTTTACTAATGCAGTTTCAGTGTTGTGGTACTCTCTAAAACCAGACTGAAATTCCTCAAACAGATCATTCGTGTTTAAATGATCACCATTTTCTCAAGGACTTTGGATAAAAATGGAAGATTAGATATTGGTCTATAATTCATTGGGTCATCTGGATCCAGAGAAGGCTTCTTAAGTAAAGGTTTGATTACAGCAACCTTAAAATAACATCAGATTCCCTGGCAACGAGCAAAGAGGTAAATGTTTATTAAAAGTGAACGCTTTGTAACCATTTGTTACAAATCAGTAAATGCATTTTGTCCTCACGGGCATCCGTAGAAGGAAACATGGCATCCAATATGGTGTCGCCCAGAGACTTGAACCCACTCCCATGTATTTTAGAACAGATTTTTATGGTTATATTTTATGAAACTGGTCATCATTTAATTATTTACAACAACATTTTGATGGTTATTTCCAGAGATTAATGGTAAAAACTACACATGGTCACTTTAACACCATCTAAAATGTAGATTCTTATTTCTAATAGTCAGATTTAAAAATAATAGCATGTGGATTTTTGGTAAAATGGTTTGTTCACTGAGAAACTGGTAAGTTTCATGTGCATGCTGACTGTGGACATATTCTTAAACCTCCTGCATTAGCTGAAGAAAGGAAATGGACGTGAAATCTTCTACGTCACAAGGAAAATTAGTATTCATAGAATTGCCCACATTGGCTTGCAAGTGGTATTTAAGAGCAACGTCTTCCTGCAGAGCAACATCTTCCTGCAGTGAGGGCGCACGGGGTTGGTTAGTGTTCCTCCCACAGACATGCATATAAACACGTGTTTATATACATGTCTATGGTTCCTCCTACGTCCGTCACAGCGGTGGTTGGAGTTAGAGCGGGTGCGTTTGACCTACTTCCGGGGAGGTTTGTAAAGTTGAACGGCTCTCTACAGGGACTCGACTTTCATCATTCACTTTGAAAACCGTTCAAAAGATTCGATTCGTTCGTGAAAGTCACATCAGTATGGCACCAGCGAAGAGACGCTTACGAGGCAGAGTTCAAGCTCAAAGCCATCGCTCACGCCGTTGAGCATGGAAACAGAGCAGCAGCGAGAGAATACAGGATTAACGAGTCGATGGTCCGCAAGTGGAGAAAGATGGAAGACCAGCTGCTGCGGGTGAAGAAAACACGGCGTAGCTTCAGAGGCAACAAGGCAAGATGGCCGCAGCTTGAAGACCGAGTTGAGCAGTGGGTCGCAGAGCAGCGAGCGGCGAGCAGAAGCATCTCCACCGTCTCTATTCGTCTCAAAGCTGCAGCATTAGCACGAGAGATGGGCATTGCAGACTTCATAGGAGGCCCTTCCTGGTGTATTCGCTTCATGCGGAGGCGAGCGCTTTCTATCCGTACCAGAACTACCGTCTCGCAGCAGCTACCCGCCGACTACGCTGAGAAGCTAGAGTTGTCCCGCTCCTGTTGCACTCAGAAGATGGCACACAAAAACATCCAACCCCAGCACATGGCTCTGCGCCCTGTAATCAGGTGAGCCTTATGGGCTCGACACACGGGAAGCGACATCGCCTCTCCATTCATTTTCAGTGCGCGACAAAGCGATAATCGCGGGTCTCTCTCCTACCAAGCGAAACGCGAAAAACGTGCGTGTGAAATTTTGCGCTCGTGCACGTGTCGTGCACAGGCGACCCAGCAACACGATCCCAGAAAGTTGAAAATTTTTCAACTTTTCATCGCTGTCGCTCAGACGAGGACCAATCAACGGAGGTTTCATTCACTGACCAATGAGCGGACAGGATGCTCCGTACACCTCCGAGCAAACATGAAGGAGAAGTTGTTTTATTATTATGTTTTATGTAGTAAAATCAGAAGTAAGATTTCACATAACTCTAGCAGCACCTTGTGAAACATCATATCTACCACTTTTTTAACTCTGAACTGCTTAAATAACCTTAATTCCCTCCAACCTGACACAGCCAAACAAAACAACGGAAGTTTTAATTTCGCCATGGAACAGAACGCGTAGACGGCTTTGCCGCTGCCGTGGATCGCCTCCCGTGTGTCAGGTAATAAAAGCGACGGCGAAAAATTTCGCTGATCGCTGTCGTTTGTCGCCTCCCGTGTGTCGAGCCCATTATGGTGCGGAAAATACGGTAATTTAAATCAGACCGGAGGACCATTGCTGTTTTAAACAAATGTTGCACCACAATAAGTGTGGCTAGGTGGAGAAACGAGGGCCCGGGCGGGATTCGATCCCCAGACTCCCGGGTGAGAGTCATACGCTCTAACCAGTCAGCCAAAGGGACATCCCCTTGGCTAAGTAGCCAGGGCGCATGATCAATCGGGACATTGTGACAGGACACTCACACTGCCACATAAGTTAAACACTAGATGGCAGTCGTGGTATTTGTGAGCATGAATGAGTTAGAAAATGATTTTCAAGCAGAATCTGTTGGTTTGGGACTGATAAATGTGTACTACTTTTTTCATGCAGCTCTTCTCCATTTGTTTCCCAGGGAGGAGAGAGACTCCTACAGAAGAAAGGCAGGCCTGTTTCCTCCCATCAGAGAGCGTTCGCCTGTGCGCAGAGAGGTGGCCCGCTCCCCCCACAGCCGCTCCGGCTCCAGCGTGAGCAGCAGAGGATACTCACCAGACCGAGCCAAAGGCCTGCCTTTCCCATCGCAGCAAGGCAAGAGTATGTAGACAGCTTGGCTTCCCTTTCCATGAAGCTGTGAAAATAGCTAAATAGTTTGATAAACTATTTATAGTTGGAACATCAAACATGAACACTGTTCACACAGTACAAAAAGTACAATATTTCTATAACAAACATCTTTTTTTAAGTACAGCCACAAAAAACATGTACTGATTGTTTCCCACTTCTGTTATGTCCGTGAATGTCATGACTAAAATCTGGCTGATTGGCTTTTCAGGCGTGGACGGTGCAGAGGGCCATGCGGGTGTTTCTGAGCACCACTGGGGGGCGCTCTTTCCTCATCAGAGCGGACATGACACTTTGGGTCTGTACATAAAGACACATGAATGAGCTTGGACCTGGGTGAAGATCTTACTTGCATCCATTTAATGTCAAAAACATGTCGGAAGAAAAATGCCCTGAAACATTTCAGCAGGAAGGCCTGAAAGTGAGAAGACTCTAAAGTTGAAAGAAAAAGAAAGATTGGATCTACTTGTCACAGAAAACGTCAGTAAGCACATGTTTTTGACCGATCTTTTTTCACCCAGGTCTTAAGCAGAATGTCTCGTCAGTGTGATGGGGACTGTGTTTCGTCAGTGTGTGATGTCACAGTGGGATGGGGACTGTGTTGGAGTACTCATTGCATTTCCACTTCCTGTTGAGGAGGTTCATTAGCACTTTCTATAGTTTACAATTCACATTTTAGATTTGACATAGTCTCTGCAGGTTTTTACTGCCATGGCTTATTACTAAATTACATATAGTTGGCTTAATGAAAGTGCTAAAGTGTTTCCTTGTTTCCTGCATGTATAGTTGGGTTTCTGTTGTCGGAACGTCAGTAAATTTACCGGAACTTCCTAGCGTGCGCGTGTCTCCGGTACACCGGGCCGGCCGAATTGGCCGTTTTCCGTGCCATTTTTAGGAATTTTCAGGGTAACTGATCAAGGGTAGGTACTCGGAATGGCCCGGCGGAGTTGCTGGATGGAATTTTTGGTTAACTTGCATTGATTGGTTGTAACTCTGTAGGAAATGACATCAGCAGACACTGTCCACAACAGCCGGCATTAGAAGAATTGCTTGTGAAGCAGAATGCTTTTAAATCGGCATTACTAAACTCCCAATACCAAAAAACATCGTAATTCACAGGGCTTTGTTGTCTCAGAGCGCCATAAAAAAACCGAGCTTCTTTCAGTCATTGAATGTCACATTTTACATCCCCCAGCTGCTCTTCTGAATGGATTAAACTGCTGTACTTTGACAGAATAAAACTTTTACTGATACTGGGTGCTTTTGGCGCTGATCAGTGACGTCACTCATCGCCAAAACAGTTGTGATATATTGAAGTGACATCGCATCTCCCGGTCAGTCCCCCCCCCCCCCCCCCCCCCTCCCATAATTTACCCTGAAATTCCAACAATGGAAATGCTCCTCATCTCTGTAGCCTCTCAGGACCCCCACCTCTCCCCTACCTCTGACTTCCTTTGCCATCTTTTCTTTTCCATTTCATCTAGACTTTCCTCTACTCCAAATAGGCATCACCTGTTTACATTGTTGCTGAAAGTTAGGATTGTTTTAAGAGCTAGTTAAACGATAAAGGCCATAAAGCAAATAAGCAGGAGTAATCTTCTGTGTAAACATAGGGGCAGGATCATGGAAGAACACAATAAACCTCCTAGCTGTAGTGACGTAAACGACTGGTGACCTGACTAACGGTCTTCCTGCAGGGTATGAAGACAAGATATCTGGTAAGTAAGTTTTGGCTCAGTTGTTGAGGAAGGCAGTCGGTTGTTTTTAGTGTTTCATTAATCATTAATGAGAAAATAAGATTTTAGTGTTTTTTATTTGTTTATTTAAATACATTTGCTAAACTTCTTGGACGTTTGGAAAAGTTTCACGCTGATAGAAGCTGCTTAGAACAGCGGCCTTCATGTTGTGCTTACTGGTTTCGTACTTTATTACCGTAGCTATGTTACACAACTATAATAGACATGTTTGCTTTTGTAGTGTAAAACTATAAAAACAGACTGATGAAGGATTTGTTAAAGGTTTCCATGTGTTAAACTCGACCCGATTCCGGTCAGGGTAACCTGAGTGGACACAAAGCGTCTCTAATGTGTCCTGCAGGAAGTTCTGCTCCTCGTTTCGTCTCCCGCTTTGTCAGGCCTCATAAAGATGCCACCAGCTTGTGCGCGGAAGTCGAGGGGAAGAATATAGTATGTCTGATGGATTTTCCTGAAGCTGGAGCTCTCGCTTTTTCATTTCATTTCTGAGCTCTTAGAAATAACGTTTGTTGTTAGTTAACCGCAGAGCCTTGGTGTGTGTGTGTGTGTGTGTGTGTGTGTGTGTGTGTGTGTGTGTGTGTGTGTGTGTGTGTGTGTGTGTGCTTGCGTGTGCGTGTGTGCGTGAGTGCATGTGTGTTACCAGGAAAAAAGCTGGTTAAGGAACAAAAAGAAATGAGCGTCTAGAGACTAGGTGGTGTCCGCAGCTGATGTTCTGCAGGGACTTAACTGTTTGAGTACCTGTATGGATTATAGAATCAAATGTCTATTTTTTTTTAGCAGTAACCAAACACATCTATACCTAAAATGTCCTATTTCATTAGTTTCCACTAAGTTCCTTTTTTCCTTTTCTTAATTCCCTTTCTCAATTCTTTGTTTCTGGGTTAAATCTCACGTTTGCACACTTTAAAATCTCAATTTGTCATTTTTGTTTTGCTCTGTCTCCTGAAACCAGATAAAATTCCTGGCCTGTCAAGAGAAGGCTCCCCACAAAGTGCAACATCAAACAAGGTGAGAACTTAAAGGAAAGTATGACAAAGATGTACTACTTAGCTCTGAGATGTTTTTTTCATTTTGTGTTACAAATATGTGGCCTCTGTTCCCAGCTCTGCAGCACATTCTCTGTGGTCTGTTTTCTTATTTATTGGTCACGCTGGACTCTTGCCTTTGTCACTGCAGCAGCATGCATCTGGAACGTCTTAAATCTCATCCATCCTTCTCATAAGCATTTGCTCTCTTTAAAGCATGTTAATGGGCTTTAAAGTAGCGCTCACACACAGCATAAAAGCCATGGAGCCTGCACTCTGTTTACCCGAGGTGTAAACGGCCTTCTGTCACACGGACTTTCAATGGTTATGGAAAATGATTTGAATGTTGACAAACTGTTTTTGTAGGATGCACTGTCGAGTTGAGTGTGTGTTTCTTCTGAGTTGTAAATAGTAGTTTGCATAGTACAAGATGGATGATATCAGCAAGAACAGCAGGGTAGCAGAGCAGTGTAAATGGACTGAGATGTGACCACCCAGAAGCAAAGGGTTAAGTCAGTAGCACTAGTCTTTACTTTATCACATGATCTTGACCGCAAAGCCAGCAGAAGTCCCAGTGGAGCTCATTGAGACGTGTTTACACTGTTTACGAAGAACAATCATTTCCTTATGAAGAATATGTCTGTTTGGTGGCTCTGTCTGCTCAGTCGGTCCATCCAGTCACAGGACGTTTGATTACTGAGACACTGATGTGCAGCGCTCACAATCCAGATGTGGATTTACCCTTTCAGACGTGTAATTTCACACCTCATTTGAGTCTAGCACAGGGATTAAAGTTCTCCGTCGTAGCGACGGAAATCCGTCAGTTGGAATAATCAGAAAAAAGTTCAGTCAAAATCTCTTCTCGCACTCGCTTGGGTTTAGTAGTCTCTCTCTCGCTCGCTCGCTCTCCTGTTGCTAATTGAAACGGGCACCGGTGTTGAAACGCGTTTCTTCACCGTTCTGCACCGCCCAAGCTGCAAAAACGCGTGCGCTCATTGCTCGCTCCCACGGTGCGCACAAACACAAACAGGTCATGATCTAATGCTGGTCTGAGGTATAAAACTCTGCCCTGGGCCCAAAGCCCTGCAGATACATTTAGTTTCTATAAACACCAACAACAAACAACAGCAGCTGGATTCTACTTTGTTCCTTAAATTGAGTCACGTAGTTTTGCAAGTTCTGCTGCTCACACGTTCAACATGGAGCTCTGCCAGCTGATTGGTTCTTTTGGTATCTAGTGCAGTTCTGGTACTAAGCAGCATGGATGCATCAGTGGATTTCACTGTAGTCTGTGTTCATAATGGATTAAGTGAAGACAGGAAAACATTGTTAACTCAAATATATCATTATAATGAACATTTATATATACTTTATCATACATACCTACCAGCCTGTAACTCTACTTTTCCCCCAAAAATGCACCAGACTGATGCGTTTAAATATAAAATGTCCAATTTATTTCTGGGGGGGCATACCCCCGACACCCCTAGAGCACCGGTACTTTAATACTTATCATCTTTTTTACCTCAGAGAAATCTCAACTCCCACACTAAACACAGTGTATGTGAACGGGTTCTACCAAATTTTTCAGAAACAAGAATACTGACCTTTAAAACCAATCAAAACCCGAATAGTGGCTGCATGTAAACAATGTGCCCCCCCCCCCCCCTCCCCCAATAATTTTCAGTCAATTGAGAATTTTTTGCTTCAATCCCTGGTCTAGCAAGATAAATGGCAGCAGTTTGAAAAATGTTGATGTTTATTTGTTTGGCAGTCGCTCTTATCCAAATTGACGTACAATTTTTAACCTATAGGGCATGTTGTGATCTGTGGGGGAAACCAGAGAACATGCAGCTCCACGCAGAAAGGTTGCAGCAGAGTTTTGAACCTGCGACCTTGCTGCGAGGCCACAGTGCTAACAACTGCGCCACCATGCACCCCATTGGCCTATTAATGACTTAAAGTGACCATGTGGATTTTTCCTGGCGATGGGGGACAGTAGATACCTAAATCGTTGCAAGCAAGCAATATTTTTGTGTTGGATTAAGATCTGACCAATGGAGGCCCATTAGGGTCAAAAAGCCCACACCCATGTATTTTAGACCTGATTTTTATGGTTGTATGTTACAAATCAGCAAATATTTTTCAACAACTGGGCAGCATTTCATTCATTTTCAACATTTTGATGGATACTTCCTTGGACTGGGCAATAAATAAAAAATAAAAATGTATCGTTATTGAATTTTCTGACTTGTATCGATAACTTTTCCCATGTCAATAAATCTGATAATAGAAAAATGAAAAGATGTGAGTAGGTTGGCAACATTCATGTCCCTTTAAACAGCTTTACCACCTTGAGTTTAGTAAAAAAAAAAAAAAAAAAAAGTGACCCAACCTACTAGCCCCATCTAGTGGACAACCTTTGTTTCTACGTGTACCTGCAGTTATCCATTTATCATTATCGAGGTGAAATCCTCGATATGTCGTGATATTGATTTTAGGCCATGTCGCCCAGCCTAAATATTCCCTGAGATTAATGGTAAAAACGACACATTGTCTCTTTAAGTGTCCATGTGCTCAATTTCTGAAGTACTGATTGCGTTTGGAGTTAAAGATACGACAAATTGTTTCTAAATATTTGTCTGGTGGCTCAGAAGAGGTCCGTTTATTCTTTTAAATTTCTCCATTATGGTGTTGATGAAATTCAAATTCTAATTACAAATTTATATATTTTAAAAGAAAGTTGTGAATTTGTCGATATGACTATAGAACTATTATAATCTAAGAAATATCATTGTCTCTTTGTTACAGGAATAAGTATGCACTTTTTTTAAGACACTTTTTTTGTATTTAAAGGAACTACAAACTGCTTCAGAACAACCCCAATAATTGCAGGATCTAATGTAGAAACATCGTTTTCTTTAATTTACAATTTTCAAGAACTTCTCTGCATCTAATCACCTGCTGAAGTGAAAGCCCCACCATTTCACAACACAGACACCCACGTGCTTCTCCTGCGTCTGATCTGGCCGGTGGCACATTTCTGTTTTCAGGGCACAGACCCATAACCTTGTTCAAGATGAAAGGTCTGCACTGTGCCCTCAGTAACACTTGTTTTAATGGCCCAGGTCGCTGCCTGCTGTGGAGCTTTAACAAACACAGACGCAGGCTTTCTGGAGCCATCCCTGACCAAAGAGGGGGTACCCTGCCCTGTTTCAGCTCTGGCTGTGAGCCAGGGTGGACTAATGGGTGGAGAGCTGGTTTTAACTGGGGCAAAAGAGAGGGGTCACTGGGAGGTTTCCTCCTGCACTTCCAGAGATATCTGACTATCAAAACGCACCACAAAAGCAATTTATTAAAATATGTTTTATTTAGAAAAGTAAAATGACAATAATCTAAATGTGAACATCTTGTTTTGTTCAGTTTTACTAGTAGAATGGTCCCGTCCCCCGGGCTTAATGGTATTTTTGTCCATGTTGCAGAAAATCAGTCCACCAATCTTTGATCTGAGAACAAAACATTTCTGAGTTGAGTTGTGCCCAGTCCGTTAGCATGAAAACTCAAGCATGGATTGTCTTTTTAGTTTTTTAATCTGAGCCTGACCAACGGGATCCTTCACACACAGAAGCTTACATGTGGAACTTCTTTCTAACGTAGCTTCAGGGAGAGAACAGGAAGGAATAATTGGATGAGTCCTCACGAGCTGAGCCTTTTATTTTAGACAGCTGGAGTTCTGATGTCCCATCTTCTGTAATGTCTTTGCTCAGTCATCTAGGAATATGACTTAGTCCGTGGCCTGTTTCCAGTTAATATACGAGTGGACATCGGTCATGGTCCAGCAGTTCTGCACTCAGGCCGTCAGACTCGTATAGTATCAGGAAACGAGCAAAGTAAATGAGCGGTGATCCAGGTTGACCTCGTTTCCTCCTTTTAGGCTCTCCTTTAGCTTTCAAGGTATCACTTATAGATGCTGGAGGTTTTAGTTTCTTCATTTGGAGGCAAAATTTTCTCATCCTGTTGTTTTGAGGGATGAGTATGAATGTTGAGGTAGCATCATCCTTCACCTCTTCAACATCATCTTTCTTTGTTAGTAAAAGTGGGTCGAGTCATAACATCCCTCTGACACTCATCTAGTGACCTGACTCATTCTGCTCCCACATCCTTTCCTTTGTTTTATATCTCATTTATGTCATGTTGCATTTGTCTCACTTTTGTGTTTAAACTTTTTTCTTGTCCTGCTAAAAACCTCGTTCTCTTTTTTTGATTTTATTTATTTATTTTTTTTGTTATGAGATTTTCTTATGCGTCCTTCTTCTCTCTTTGTAGGAGGAAAGCAATCCTCCAGAAGCAGTAAAAGAGGAGCCGGTTGTGGCTCCCATCTTCGAAGAGACCAAAAGGTCTCCAGACACCTTTAAAGAGAGACGATCCGTGGCCATCGCAACCAAAGCACAAGAGATAGAAAAGGTATTTGTACGAAACTTCGATCGTTAGTGCTTAACAGAATAATTTAGAAGCAAGCAGGAAACTGGTCAGGATGTAGTGGTCTGTTGAAATGGTGTATTAGCTGTTGAAGCTATTTCAGTGACGTGCAGGATTTTGAGATTCAAATTTAAAAGATGAAACAAAAGTCACAGATAAACCTAAAATTGGCCAGCATTTGCTTCTATAGAATAAATAGAACTGCACTAGGTTACCTTTTGGGAACAAATGTATTGTTGATCGTCTTAGTGGTACTTGGTGTGGTCATCTGCTGTAGCCCAGTTACTATCACAATGAATGAGTTGGAACCAGTGGTTATTTGAGTGACTGTATTGTCATCTTGAACTAGTCTTCCATTCTCTGACCTTTTTATGGATGCCCACTTTTTCTGACCATTCTCTATAGGGCTGCTCGATTATGGCAAAAATAATCATCAGGATTACTGTGACTGAAATTGAGATCACGATTATTTAGGACGATTTTTCAATTCATGTTGATTTTATTTGTTTTTATTCAGTCATAAAATTGCTCAGGGCACAATTAGGACAAAAATAAATAGGAAGCAAGATGATGACTAAAATAACTCCTGATTCCCAGTATAAAAAGACTAATATACTTATAGCTCATAGTCTATGACCCAAGGGCTATAGACCTTGGTTTAACCCATTTAAGTCTAACCAGTACAGACCCAAATACCAATATCTTACAAATACTGACAGCAAGAATTATACAGTGGCATTTATTGCTAATAAATTGATGTTCACAAAATGTTGCATAACATTTATTGAGTCGTGTCAAGGTGCTGTAGGAGAGTGCACTAGCACCGTGTCCTCAGAGAGATTAGTTATTGTTTATCAGCGTGAGGAACTTTTTTATAAACTATTTATTTACAGGTCCATCAGTTAATGTAATAATTGTCCCAACCACAGCTGCACCCCCCAACCCGGTCTCAGCAATCGGGGCAAGTTGCACGTGTGTTTAGTGCGCTGCACGCGCACATTTAGCTGTTTTTAGTGGCTCAGGAGTCCGCAGGTGCGGTGTGTGTCACTCACTCGGGTTACTCCAACAGGGAGCTGGCTCCGAGAGCCGTTTCTTTAGCGACTGACACATCACTACATCATTCCCTTTCCTAATGTCCTGAAGAATGGTCTGGAGCGCAGGCGGAGTGTTTAGCTAACCTGCAGGAAATGTCGACGACAGTTATCCAGAAAGTAGCTAAGGGTTACCAGAGATGTTTCTGAGGTGTTCGCTAGGTACTTTTAAGATTTAAAAAGTCAAGAAGGGGGTCTGAAAAGCTGTTGGAAATAGCCTCAAAGTCACCAAGTTGTCAACACTGTGGGAGGAGCGCTTCATTTGCAACTCGGGGCAGCCCAAGTGGGAGGAGCAAATAATCAGCTTGTTTTGTTTTTTTAATCGTTCAAAACTCAGATCGTAATCGTGATTAAAATTCGATTAATTGAGCAGCCCTAATTCTCTATAAACTTTAGAGATAGTTGTGGGTGAAAATCTCAGTTGAATGAACAATTTTTTTCTGGCTCAACAACTACGCCATGTTCAAAATCATTTAAATCCTCTTTCTTCTCCATTCTAATGCTCAGTTTGACATTCAGCAAGCCGTCTTCACCTTGTCTAGATCGCTAAGCACATTGAGATCCTACCCTGTGTTTGGTTGATTTATTTATTTATTTAGTAAAGTGCCAATCTTATTTTTTAAAAGAATACTCTTTATGTATCTCCTTTAAATATAAGGGCAGTTTATTCCATATAGAAATGGGTCTGTACATCACTGATTTCTTTAATATATTAGTTTTTGGTAGAGGCAATGCATAATTATTCAAAGATGAATGTCTAGTTCTATTCTCATGTCTCTCTTGTACCAGAGTCATTTGAGAATACAAGCAGACCGGTTCTTTAGTCAGAGATATTTTTCTTACCAATTGTGCTAGCCTACCAGCCATACTCTGTTCTACTGTTAGCCATAATAATTTATTATGCATCATCTCAACATTTTCCCTTACTGAACAATTTAAGGCAAGTCTCGCCGCTCTATTCTGGGTCAGCGGGATCTTATGAACATCCTGTTTGGAAGCAGAGGACCATACTACTACACAGTATTCCAAATGAGCCAAGACGAAAGTTTGTAAAAGCAGTCTAGCATTTTCCTCATTTAACAGATATCTGCATCTTCTAATAACAGAGATACCTTTTCTCATTCTGGATACCAATTTATTATTATGTGTTGTCTATGAGAGAGTGTCCTCTAGCCATACACCTAATAATTTTACCTGTTCAATGATTAACTAATTGTGTGAACAAAAGAGGTTTATATTTAATTTTGCTGCCACAATTATTCACCAATATGTAGACTACCAAAATCGTCAATGACAAAATGTAATGATCAATGTCATTGTTCATTTTCAAAACTGCTGCTGTGCCCTCCGCTGCTCTTCCTGGCCTTGATGCACATGCTCAGCAGAGGCATTCATGGTCAGCTGTGGCGGTCAAAGCCCGTTCAATCACGGCGAGCCGGCAAAGGAGCTCAAAAGTTTGTAAGTGTTTAGGCAGAGCAGCCTTATTCGTATAGCACAGAGGCAATTTGTTGTGTTTATAGAAATTCAAGAGTAGATAGTGTAAAATCTGCAAGGCAGAGCCTGCCTGCTATGGCAGTACGACAGGGATCCTTGAGCTGATGGACTGATTCCCCTGGAAGCTAATTTGCAAGTTAGCTGGTAACATTAATGTCATCAGTGAGTTGATTTCTGCAGCGCAGACAGTAGTGATGGTGATTTCATTACCAGTAGCACACTTATTTCACGTGTTACAAATGCTAATATTTTGTTTCATATCTCTGCGTTACGTTTTTTTTAAGCGTTGCTCTTAAATGCACAACTTTGTTACCAAGCCAACGACATGCACTACTTGGCAAGCAAGCACTCTGACCGGTTATATTACAGTAGCTGCATGCTGGTGAGATGAGCTACAGTTTATGCATGATTAGATTAGTTGACTAATCTCCAAGATAATTGATGACTATTCGATTAATCAAATTAATCGTTCATGGCATCTCTAATATTTAGTTTCTTTACCAGAGGTAGCCCTGGGTTCTCGGATTCCCACCTTCTGTTATTCTACGATTAGCCAAGGAAAACAATAACAAAGGCTTCTGTCAAGCATCGCTCCTACCTGATGGTAGCATTCTACACAGTATGACCCCAGAAGGGGGCTTAACGGCACTCCAGCCACCCCTAGCCGAAGGTTCTAGCTCTGCTCTGTTATTTAATGAAGACCATTCTTGCACCAGTAAGCACTATTACTGGTTTACTTGAGACCATTAAACCCAAGCTATCTCTGCCCTGGAGCACGCGTTGCTCTCAATGAGCCGCACCACTGAACCTATATGTTGCTGCTGACTGTGCAGCTTCTCTCTGGTCCTATAGCTCAACTCTTCCCTCTAGCACTCAACCTCTTTCAGGCGTTTGTGATTTCCAGAACTTGTGGGAGGGTGTGTTTGTAGTTTGGCAGCCCTCACTTTTTCATGAAAGCCAGAATAGTTTGAACATCATCTTGAAGTCATAAAACACTAAATGAGTCCAATTTTTTCCTTCAATTAAAAGAAACTATAGAGTGAAATGGAGACAGCATTTTATAAATGCCACATTTGTTTCAGTGTTTGTTTTTATTCAATAGGTAAACATGTGGACCCTTTAGGCCCCAGAACACTAATCAGATCCTGAAACATCTGCTTTGACATGCTCACCCTCACAAGTGGCACACACACCAACCAGCTGCCCTAAATTATATATTTATATGCGCTTAACTGCTAGCTGGTGCTAGTCTTACATCATGCTTGTAATGGTCAGATAAACACACTTAGGTTAGCTGTTTGTTTTCACTCCACTTTCATGTTTCTGCAGAGCTTCAGCTGTGTTTCAGGTTCTTAGCAACTTCTTTGTAGCCCCTTGACAAGTTTGACTTTCTGCACTCAGTTTTGTCAAACCGTCTCCTCAACATGCATCAAGGCACAAAAAAACGCTCCTTTTTCTGGTGTGTGCTGCAGTGTCTCTGTAAAGGGGTTGGTTTTACGCCTTGTTGTCAAAGTTTGAACTGTGTAATTGGTGGAAAAGTATAAGGGTCAAAGTTCAAGGACAGTCATTCAAGGTTATGCACAAAGATGGCAGAGTTGTTGTGGACTTTTCATTTTGAAGTTAGTCATCGTTGCACAGCCCTAAAGAACTGAAAACCGTTTGTTACGTGGGAGAAAACATAGCACAATACTCAGACAGGAGCTCTTTGGAGTAACTCCACCCAGAACCAGTCCTTTACTTCCTGATTGGATAACAGGAGATATTCCAGGAAGGACATTTTCAGCACATTGTTGGATAAGGATACATTCTCAGATGTTCAGTGAAGCTGTTATGCTCATGTTGACTGGATACTTCCTGAGACAATTTGATGAATAAATTGACTGTAATCAGCAATCAAATGGGTTTTTGTAAATATTGACTAAGTGTTAAATGTAGATTCTGCAACGTGTTGACTAAGAAGCAATATGTTTGACATTTGGAGAGCATGAGAAAGGTACAAAAACACGTTAAGAGAGGCACGTTTGTGCTTCATCAAACTGTGTATTGTGTTTATTTAAATTCTGCCTTTAGTTAATTTTATTTTTATTTATTCGTGTTGAGGCGGCGCAGTGGTTAGAGCTGTTGCCTTACAGCGAGAAGGTCCTGGGTTCGATTCCCGGCCTGGGATCTTTCTGCATGGAGTTTGCATGTTCTCCCTGTGCATGCGTGGGTTCTCTCCGGGTTCTCCGGCTTCCTCCCACAGTCCAAAAACATGATTGTTAGGTTGATTGGTCTGTCTAAATCAGGGGTGTCAAACTCAAATTCACACTGGGCCGAAATGAAACTCTGGGACGGAGTCGAGGGCCAAACTTAATTTTTTTTTTAAATAGTGACGTCAAATATGCACATTTTCTTTATCAACATATATGCAATTTTGAACCTTTTAATTTGGAAACAAACTTACTTTAGCATTAACACTGAATGTGCAATAATCAAATTACACACGAGCAAGTCGGTTTTAAATAAAACTCATCAGTGGTATTCATTACTTGTGATATAATCAGCATTTTTAAAATCTATTCAGGATTTATGTTTTCTTTTTTATTCTTTTTTTTATTTTTTATTCTCCTTTTTTCTCCTGTAATAAGTGTCATCACTGCTGTGACGTCTAGCTTTCCCCACTGAGGAACAATAAAGGGATTTTCTATTCTATTCATCCATCTGCAGCCTTTCCACTTCCTGTTTACTGTAGGTTAAATCTTTTCTCACGGGCCAACAACAAAATAAAAATATCATTTTATCTTAAATGAAAATGCAACATCTCACCTGTTAACTTTCATGTTTTGGAGCAGAAAAAGAGCATAAAACCAACATATTTAAAGCTCAGCTTGCTCCACTGGTTTACTGTGATGCTCACCTGTTCCAGCCAGATACCTGCATCATGGGGTTGATCTGAGCTGAGGAGGAGACTCCTGTTGTTTTGTTCATCTTCATCATAATAATGACAACATTAGATGACAACAGGTGCTCACATAGGTTTGTGCTGCTGAACATGTCTGAGCAGCTTGACCACGTTGTTGTGTATCGGGGAGGAAAAATAAAAACGACAGCCACAGAGTCGTGCTGGTTTGAGCGTGTCGCTGCTCGCTGGAGTTATATCAGCTCTGTCTGGAAGTTAGTTGGAAAACTTTCTCTTTCAGTCGTGAACACATTACTGAGCGGTTAAAATCTCCGTTTCTGGGCTTCAACGTTGGAAAATAGCTGAGTAAACTCGGCACTGAGTGAGAGGAGTGTTTAATTTGTCCGAGACAGCGGAGCTGCAGATGCTGGAAAAAACACAAAGGAGGGGGCACTTCGGCTCAGCGCTAACGCCGCAAAGCATCATGGAAGCTGTAGTCTTTGCTGTAAAATCAGCCAGTGGGTCAGTTTTAATATATTTTTGACATTTATCTCGCGGGCCACATAAAAATGCTCCGCGGGCCGCATCTGGCCCATGGGCCTTGTGTCTGACACATGTGATCTAAATTGTCCTTAGGTGTGAGTGTGTGTGGGTGTGATTGTTTGTCCTGTGTGTCTGTGTTGCCCAGCGATGGATTATTCGTGTTGAGGATCAGAGGCTGTCTAAAACCATAGCTCTTAAACAGATTTCAGTGGAAGCTAAACCTTGAGAGGAATCTTTGCCGGTTCTCACTGGAGTATCAGTGATGTCACTGGTTTAGAAATCTGATCCTATTGGCTCGCTGGTCATTTTGAAAAATAGATGCCTGTAGAAGCAGATTTTTAGAGACATGTTCACCATTTGTGTTCTAAAACGACGACTGTCTTGCTTTTTCCTGATCCTGTTGCTTTAATATACAGCAGCTTATGCTTTGCATGTTTTTTTGTTATTGCAGCCTTCTGCTGCTAAATCCAACCTCATCATCCATTACAGTTTAACTCATTATTAACTAGAAAAGTGACGAGGTCTGCCTTTATTGCACATTCAGTTGTTGCAAATCCGTGAACACTGTTTGACAGCAGATCCCATTTCAGGAGCTCTCCTAGTATACAGAAAATGCACCGTGTTCAAGGAACACCTATAAATAAGCCCACGAGCTAGAGCGCCCTGCAGCACAGAAGCTACTGGTGGGTTCAGGTGAATGACTGACTGCAAGTGGCCTTTTCCTGGCTTGATTTCACACACACACACACACACACTCACACACACACACACACACACACACACACGCACTCATACACAAACAAAAGGAGTATAGAGACATGTTTGCACACCGTTTTTGTTTTTAGATGTGTTTCTGTATCAGTCTGTAGCTCAGACTTTAAGTAATAAGCAGCTTATTAGCAGGTTACTTTACTGAGGCAGGAATACGATCATCTGACTGTCATATAATAGTTGAGATTTCTAATGGAGAGCTTTGGAATTAAGTTAGAAAGTCTCTTAAACAACTTGAAGTGCGTGAGCATCCTCTCCCTCACATGTACTGGCAACTAATCTGTTTGGCTTTTGCATCTCAAAGCCCTCAGTGTGTGAAAGTAACAGTCTTCCCTTCCTTGTATGGCTCTGTGTTGAATGGCAGCTTCCTAACTACATCACTGTGCCGGCTTTTATGCAGCAAATTAAATTCAGGTTTATTGTTTGTTCTGTATAAAGTGCCCTGATTGGAAATGAAAGAAGTGACTGTTCACACTAGAGTGATCAGTGCTGTGGGGTGTTTACACCTAGGTGACGGGTGGAACAGGAAGGAAACTATTCACTCTCCAAATTAAAAGCTTTTCCTGAAGTCAACATCTGAATAAAAGGTAGCGAGTGTTTTTTTTTCCTGAGTGTTTTGACAATAAGCCTGTCCTATTTAGCAAATGACATTTTTATTTTCTTGTCCACCTGCAGATATATCGTCAGGACTGTGAGACATTTGGAATGGTGGTAAAGATGCTTGTGGCTAAAGACCCTAACTTGGAGAAACAGCTGCAAGTACCTCTCAGAGAAAACCTTGGGGAAATCCGTGAGCGCTGCTTAGAGGACCTCAGGCACTTCATCAACGAGCTGGACGAAGCAGTTCGGCAGCCAGAACCTACCTGTGACTCTGCCACTCCTACATCTCTGACGACTTTGAAACTCTCAAAAACTGGAGTCAACCACAGCTCGTCCTACTGATGAATCAGCCGGAGCAGAGTGGAGCTAAGGAACTCATGAACTGAACATACTGTGTCTCAGCAACCAGAGCAACTGGTCACAAGAATGAACAGTGTTATTTTTGAATGAACCATTTGTACCTTCAAGTTTCCTGATGAATATTGTTAATTCAGATATGCCGACAGTTGTTTTTCCTGTTTTTGTTTGATTTAAAATAGTTCGAGTATCATTCTGCAGTGGAAATTGTTCACATTTTGGGTGTAAAGTTATGTTTTTGGTCATTTTCCAAGCAGCATTTATTTTTTCTGCTATAGAAAGACTTTAGCAGTCAGATGTACAAGTGCGCTGCAGAATTTAAAAGTTTAGCACAGTTGAATAAATTTATACCATCTAGAAATATTATTGCTAATTTGTCTTGTCATTTCAATTTGCCGGCAGTAAGTCGGCTCGTTCCCAGTGAGAGTTGGACTCCGCCAAGGCTGGCTTTTGTCACCGATTCTGTTCATAACCTTTATGGACAGGATTTCTAGGCGCAGCCAAGGCGTGGAGGGCATCCGTTTTGGTGGCCTGAGGATCAGGTCTCTGCTTTTTGCAGATGATGTGGTCCTGTTGGCTTCATCAGAACGTGATCTTCAGCTTTAGCTGTAGCGGTTTGCAGCCGAGTGTGAAGCAGCTGGGATGAGAATCATCTCTAAATCTGAGACCATGGTCTTGATTCGGAAAAGGGTAGAATGCCTTCTCTGGGTCAGGGATGAGGTCATGCCCCAAGTGGAGGAGTTTAAGTATCTCGGGGTCTTGTTCACGAGTGAGGGAAAACTAGAGCGTGAGATCGATAGGCGGATTGGTGCTGCATCTGCAGTGATGTGGGCGTTGTACCGGTCTGTCGTGGTGAAGAGAGAGCTGAGTTAGAAGGTGAAGCTCTCGATTTACCGGTTGATCTACGTTTCTGCCCTCACCTATGGTCATGAGCTTTGGGTAGTGACCGAAAGAACGAGATCGCGGATACAAGCGGCTGAAATGAGTTTTCTCCGAAGAGTGGCTAGGCTCTCAGAGATAGGGTGAGAAGCTCGGTCATTCGGGAGGGGCTCGGAGTAGACCCGCTGCTCCTCCACATCGAGAGGAGCCAGTTGAGGTGGCTCGGGCATCTGGACAGGATGCCTCCCTGGTGAGGTTTTCCGGGCACGTCCAACCGGGAGGAGACCTAAAGGTAGACCCAGGACACGGTGGAGGGACTATGTCTCTCACCTGGCCAGGGAACGCCTTGGGATTCCCCTGGAGGAGCTGGCCCAAGTGGCTGGGGAGAGGGAAGTCTGGGCCTCTCGCCGTGGGCTACTGCCCCTGCGACCAGACTCCGGATAAGCGGATGAAAATGGATGGATGGATGGATTTCAATTTGAGTTCCAAGTCCAACATCTGTCAGACAAATGAAATGCACAGGACTTGCTCATAATGCACAATAAAAAAGATGTAGCAGTCCGTTATCCAAGCAAAGTACATCCAAGTATTCAAGTTATTTTAGGCTTGGGTTCTAATAACATGAATTATAAACACAAAAGCCTTGTTTTCTTAAGTAAAATATTGAAAATCAAAAGTTACCAACCTGAAGTCTTTGAAAACAAAAATTTATTACAAGCATCTTTACATCAAAAAGCATGTTTGGCTATGTTGGAGTAATGCAAGTGATCAGGTGCAAGTACAAGTGTGTTGCTACCAGATTTGTACAAATGGTAATGTGGGAAACATTTCTGGATTAATACTGCACTGTTCTGTTCTTTTCATAAAGTATAAACAATAACTGCTTTTTACTTAAACCATGACTAAAAACTAGTATTACTACCTTAACTTAGTATGTACATTTTTATTGTGATGCGTTGACATTAAATAATTTGGTTTTGATTTTCTACTTGAATGATAAACTTCTGTACAACTGTAATGCACATATAGCAATGAAAAAACTAAAAATTATAGAGAAAGGCTGACAGGAAAAAGTGGATTTAATGCTAACTGCCATATTTCCAACGCTACAGGTTCTTGCATCTTATGTAAAAAGCAGTTTTAGGAATATTTAATGCTACGTTGGATAAAACGTACAATGTGTCCCTCCTACATTTGGCCTGATCTAACATTGATCCATGCACTTTCTAATCACTTCCTAAATCAGTGACTTGAGGACCCTTTCTGGCTGGTATTGCTTTGCGTAGTGCCCATGATTTAAAATAAAACAATTGATAAACATTTTAAGAAATTATACAGTTTTTGGAGTTGTGACCTTTTCGGTGACAAGTCTGTGAGGCATGGCTCAAAGAAGGGAGGGCTGTAACTCTTGTTGGATAGTCCTCTGCATAGTAGCGCCCAACAGCTCTGGGCTGGGGGATTGGTTGACCGAGGAAATAGCCCTCCTCCTCGGAGTCTGATGATGAAGATGAGCAAGTGGAACACCAGTCATCATCCTCTCTGTAGAGACCCATGAAATGTTCAGCCCTTGGGTCATTTTTGGTTGAGCTTCGAAGCATATAGTCAGATCGAGTTTGGGAGTAAGCCAAAGGCACCAAGTGTGACGGGTGCTGTAGGCGCATAGCACCACAGGAAGAGTTCCCTAAACCCTGTTGCTGGTGCACAAATGGTCTTTGTGCTCTTTCCATAGGTACCATGTGGAGGGCATTGTCTGAGCGGGTTTTGCGGCTCCGATGGTGTCGACCTTGCCGGTGGCGGCTCTGCCTGCTCCGCCCATGGTGGCTCGTTGAACGGCTTCTCTCTCTGCCCAGCTCATCGGGGCAGAAGGCCCTCCTCTGTGGTTTCTCACTCATGGGATGTTTTGTAATACTGACCTCAAAACCATCATTATGTCCATTGTCCACTGTGTCTTCTGAGAACTTGACCACCTGAGGTGGCCTGGATTGTGACTTGCTCCTCCTCAGTGCTGGGGCTTGAACAAAGGATGGAGAGAGTCCTTCTGAATGAGGAGACAGTGAGTGAACACCTGGAGCACCTCCCCTCATTCCAAGAGCAACTTCATTCTCTACTTCCTCACTCCTCTTTTCCATGTTGAGATTGAGAGAGTTGGCGCTGTGGTGAAGATGAGATGAATTAAACGTTCCCATGTTGCTCATCTTTTCACACTCGCCTGTCAATGAGGAACCCTGTCTTGGATGAAGAGTGTAGACAGCAGGTGCATCCCTGCTGTCGCCATCCACTGATGCACCTAAGAGAGGTGAAAGGGAAGGTTCTGTTTTCACTGTGCTTTGGATATTAAAAGAAAGTAAAGCTGATTCCAAGCTAGTTGCACAATCCTTACCAGTGATATTTGAAAGGGCCAAGGAGTCCATCGAGTCTCCAACACCCTTCCCAACCTTTCTCAACTCGTCGGCGATGCACTCAAGAGAATCTTCATACCACTGCCTGGTGTCTTGCCAGAAGGGTCGTTTTCCTGCTTCCAATTGATCCTGCTCTTGGTCCAGTTCCAGCTCTTGGATCTTTCTGGCACTGGCAGGACCAGGGTGGCTCCCATAAGCCGAGTCTCCAAGGCCATCCTGTGACTGGGCCCAGTATATTTCTGGCAGGTGCTTCTTATCCATGAATCCAGGGCTGAGACTGTTGGCCCGGGACTGATTTGAAGTCTGGCTCTGTGTGGGACTGGCAGGGGTAGGAGAAGAAGCATTCATCCCCATAGATGTAGAAGTGGGCTTCAGCCAGGGATCAGACGTGCATGTTAGCCTGTTTGTGTCACTGTTAGGACTGGGTGATTTTAGGGATGGCTGCTGAAGTTGTAACAACCCCCGGTCACCAAACTTGAGCAGGAGCTGAGTCATATAGTCATCATGCTGGGCCCACTCATCTGGATCCTCCTCTCCACTGGCATCTTCCTCGCGATCCCTCCAGAATCTTTCCTCCTCCAGGCCCATGTGGCCCAGCTTACGCCCCACAATATCAATGTTGCCATCAGCGTCTTTGTCACCCTCACTATCCCCAAACCTTTGCTCATATGATGGGACAGTGACAGGACGATTAAAAAGCTGGGACTGTCTCCATTGCTCTGTAGGCCTGCTGCTCTTTCCCATGCGTACACTGCGCCGCGATTCACGTGAGCGGGCTGATTGGAAAGCAGAATCAGACGAATCGGAGCCATGTATATCTTCCCCCTGGCTGCAGACTTTTGAGCAATAGATGTGGCCTTGCTTGGGCAGGAAGGGACAACCCAACAAGGACGTCTTGCACTGGGCACAACAGAAGCACTGGTCTGTGGCATGCCAATGTACACCTTCATAGGTCATTTGGGCATGGTCAACACCTAAAAGATTATATAAAAATAGAAAATCTATTAAAAGCAATCTTCTTTTCAAATTAGATCTTAAATGAAGAAATACTTTGTTTTAATTTGAATTTTGAAAGATTAATAATAGACACAGAAACATTACTCACCAATATTTTCACCGCAGGCCTCACAGTACTCTGCATACAGAGACTCAAAGCACCCACAGCAGTATGGCCGTCCATTTTTCATGATGTACCGCTGCCCACCAAGCATTGTCCCACACTCAAAGCAAGCAAAGTGCTTCATGTGCCAGTGACGACCCTCTGCCTCAGTGCACTCATCTGCAAAGATGATCTATGGAAGCAAAAATGCATCTTGTTAATTTCTCCGACAAAACTTTAAAAGCTGTACAAATGCTACAGAGTTTTACTGTAGAGTCACCTCATCACAAGAGGAGCATCGTGGTTTGAGAAGCTCAGCATGGTGCCTTCCACAGAAGATCTTGCCATTTTGATAAAAGTAGATGAGATCAACCAGGAGCTCTTGACACGTTGTACACACAAAGCATGTTGGGTGCCAGCAGGGACTCGGCCCAGCCCTGGAGGCAAAAATTGCCATCTCTCCTCCATTAATGCCACCATGACACTGTCAAACACAAACAAGAGATAATCTGGGGGATTAATTTGTCACATCTGGTGCTGGTAATTACCATCTCAAATGGCACCTTAAAATAGGTATGTGGTACAGCTGGTTCCTTTGACCCATGGGAAATGTAGTATAACCAAAACAAGGAAGGGTGCTGAGCCTTTTTTTGCACTGATGCTATAATAAAGATTGCTACACAACAGGTGATGAAAAGGATTGGTGCAAGACACATTGCCAAAGATTTCAAGGCAATACTTTCAGTTTAGGTGAACCATGCAAGAAAATTGACTTCATGAAATCAGCTGATAGGCTCACTCGTTAAATGTTTTTCATGAATTTTCCTTTACTGGGTGTTCGGGGTTTTTTTGGTCCCATATATAAGTCCCTTGACAGCAGCTTTGCCCTGTAAACTGACCGTGGCTCACCAACTAAAGGTCTTATGACTTCACAAAGACTGCTAAAGCCCGTTCGAACACGCAGTCTTTATATAAATAAGCACATTTATTTATGAGTTATCCATAGAAGGCAGCTAAGGGATTGCATGCCCAGCTGTTAGCCATTATTACCAGTTTGGACAGACTGGGGCCTTGAAAACGTCGGTGTTGCATGACCCTGAGAGTTAAGGCATGCGTGTGTCGTCATTATACATCCTGCAGTTGAGTGTGTGGTTGACAATAGCACATGTTTGCAGAGCTTTTGAGAGTATATGAGTGTTCGGCCTGTCTAATGGGTGTCCACTGTCCGTGAGTCTTTTAGAGCATGTGTGTGACCTTGCAGGCCCCATGTTAGCATCTGTGCCTGAGTGGTGACAGACTGCATCTGAATGTGCTAGGCTAGGGGAATTAACATAGATGTTCTTCATCTGCTCCTCCTGGATGCCTGGTGGAGGATGTGGTTTACTCATTTGTCAGGGATGAATTCAGCAGAAGCCACATAACAGCAATATTTATGTTTGGTGCAATGAAAGAACCTTTATTTTGAGAAATACGATCAGGGACGAACTGGACTGCATCTCTTGTTTACGTTAAAACAGCACAGCCAAATAAGGAGAACAAAGGCAGATTCTGGAGTCTGTTTAAAGTTTGAACAAAATGTCAAATTTGATCTAAACTCCCACAAAAACATGAATGAAATATCTTGCAATTCCCAAAATGTTTTTCCATAAAGTACCTTGAAACAGCTGTGCACACTGAACAGCTCTAATTACACCAGTTTATGTGGAATTATCAGCCACATACTGACTTGTTAGGGGTAACAAACTGGATTTTAAGACTTTGGGCAAAAATGACTAATTAAATCGTCCATTTTTGTAGTCTCTCATGCTGTGAAATAGATGTGAAGGCAGGAAATTGGCTGAACTCTTCATGAGGAACAGGCCTCTCTGCTCTGCTTAAACATGATTTCCCCATTTCCTCTAACGAGGAAGTTTATGTCAGTGATTAAAACTGCTGTAATAGTCAGGACTGGGCCTCGGGCTGCCATGACAAGGATAGTGGATGTTAGCTGGTTTAAATAGCTTAAGACCCACCGGTTGAGTTTCCTGTTGTCTTATTAAATACATGTGTGCTCATTTGTGTGTGTGTGCTTACACTTTCACAGCGGGTGTGTTGCAGGGCTCTGGGGAGGATCTTAGGCGTCCCTCTTCCCAACGCCTCCCTCTTCCTCTGGGTGCTGAATATCTGGAGCTCCCTTTTTTCCTCCTCGATCAGAGAATGGCAATAGCGCACCTGTTAATGAACAAACAAAAAACGAGAGAGAGTGTTAAGTTCAAAGGAATTAAGGTCAATTTCTGGTTACGAACGGAAAGCAAAATCATCACAATAAAGCATCCACAGATTACAGCTAATAGCCCCACTTTCATCTTTGCATGCAAGTTTGCAGTAGAGGATCACTCAAAGTCCATATAAGGTTGAGAAAAGAGTTCAATTATAGCTAATTCACCTCCTCAAGGCAGCTGTGAAAGGATGGCGAGAGCGATACACAAATCCTTCTTCTCTATTTAGAGTCTGGGATAAAGTCTCAGATAAAAGACCAGGGGCCTCATTTATCAAGCTTGCATACACACAAAACGGGGTCGGAAAACTGCGTAAGCAACTTTCCACGCAAACTTCGGGATTTATCAAAGAAAACTTAGCGGAAAAATGTGCTCAACTTTAAGTTGACTAAGGATCTGGCTTACGCACATTTTGGACATGGAGAGCACCTGCAGTGCTGCTGCTGAGAAGGATAAAATTATGAAATCCTGCAGCATTATCACTTGTACTGCTTTGTTTTCACACAGAACAAGACCCCCCGCACGCACACACACGCGCACGTACACACACACAAATGCGCACACTCACACACGCATGCGCGCACGCACACACACAACCTGAAGCGCAGAATACAGAATGCAGAATATCAGCAGGGGGGCAGATTGAGACAGAATGTCATGCGTCTGTGACGGTGTGTGTCCTGTCACTGTGATCCGATTGATCATGCACCCTGGCTAGAAGATCTCTGTTTGGCTGACTGGTTAGTGCACGTGACTATCACCAGGGAGTCTGGGGATCGAATCCTGATTGGGCCTTTTTTTTTTTATGTCCGCCACAGATCTCTCTGAAGAACTCACAATATTGACGGCTTCAGCAACGCTGTACCACTCCGTGGATTTTCTCTTATTTGTTTTGCAAAAGCACTTCCTTTCATTTCTCCACCTCACCCACAGGTACCTCAACTTCTGCTTCTGTGAAATTGCGCTTCCTTGATCTACGGTCGCCATGTCATTGGCGGAGCGCTGCAACATGTGTATGCATGAGATCCACAAGGCACTTTGCATTAACTATTTATGGCAGTAAGTGGGTGTGGTGAGGGCGGGATGTGACAAAAAAGCAGCTGAGAAACATTCTCGTTAGTCTCCGATTTATGAAGCGGAGATTGCGTGCAGCTGTGTGTACTCCATGTGTGATAGATCACAAACCTACTTGGCGTAAGTACATTTTTTTGCTGAGCTTAAGTACGGTTTTAGTAAGGATTCTACGCAATGTCTGATAAATGAGACCTCTGGACCGTCCTGACAACCAGCTCGGTTTTTCTCCAAACATCATTAAACAATAGTGGAGCATGAGTTTGCTCTCTCTCTCTCTCTCTCTCTCTCTCTCTCTCTCTCTCTCTCTCTCTCTCTCTCTCTCTCTCTCTCTCTCTCTCTCTCTCTCTCTCTCTCTCTCTCTCTCTCTCTCTCTCTCTCTCTCTCTCTCTCTCTCTCTCTCTCTCTCTCTCTCTCTCTCTCTCTCTCTCTCACACACACACACACACACACACACACACACACACACACACACACACACACACACACACACACACACACGATGTCTCTTTTGTCTCCCTTTCATATACACACTGCCTATCCATCCTAACCACAGCTACGCCAAGAATCCTCTGCTTCCTCGGCCGCTAGGTTTGCCAACAAACATAATAAAATGCCCCAGTCACACACTGTTTGTGTGTGTTGAGTGTACCTATTGTGTATCTTCCATATGTGTACACAAAGACCACCCCAGTTAGTGCAGTCTCCCCTTCCCCCTCTGGTGATAATGCTCCATCATATCACCTAATGTAAACTATTAACGCAGATGTGAAAGGAGTGCTGGTTTACGCACCATAAATCTGGTATACAGGCTTGTGGCTTGAGCTTTAATGTTCCAAAGGAGTTTTTTATTTCCGAGTCAAGAGAATACAGCTATTGTTTTAGCTTTCTTCCAAAACAGCTAGATTGTGTAGTTTACCCAGCTGCAGGCTTGAGTTGAGTAAAGGATATGTGTCATTAAAAGTTCCCTTTCACCTTGTAAATGGCCTGTATAGATATAGATATAGTGATTCTAGAGTCCTAGAACCCCCCAAAGTGCTTTACAACACAATCAGTCATTCAGCAATGCACACACATTCACACACTGGTGGTTATGAGCTACAGTTTAGCCACAGCTGCCCTGGTGCCACTGGTCTCTCCGACCACCACCAGCAGGTTATGTGTCTAGCCCAAGGACACAGTGACTGCAACAGACTCAGTGGGACTCAAACCTGCAACCTTCTGATTCCGAGGCAGACACTTAACTCCTTTGTCAAATTAAAAATCATAAATCAAAATTTCTTTACCGATCAGCATTTGCAAAAATGGACAACACACCAAAAAGGCCAGGTTACAAAATACGGTTTTTCATTATTTTCTGGATGCACATAATCATGGTGTTTTTTAAGCATTAAGAAAGTATAGGAAGATAAAAATTTTAAACTGTTTATTTTTGAGATATGGCTGGAGAGTTAAGAACTCTGTGAACAAACAACCAGGGTTCAAATTAAGGCGGAGGTAGGGGGAGCCAAGCTCCACCGAAAGGGTCATGAGCTCCCCCAGAAGCTCTCAACTGACACCCAAGGGAGTCGGAGAAATGACCCGTCCTACACCCCACCAGTACGGAGTTTGAACGGCGGTGATTTGACATACAAGTGCATCGTGTCTTCACACACACACACACACCCGAGTGCTATACAAAAATGGGATCGGACAGGACGACCCCTTTCGGGTGAGCCGGGCTCCCCTTAGCTCCACCGTAATTCAAACCCTGAGTGACACCTCCTGTTTACGATTAGAACTGCAATGAATGTTAGTGCATTGCATGTTGAAAGAAACAGCAGTTTAGGTCTTTTGAACAAGTGTTGTTGTTACTTTACCTCATTGTCATGTGGAGGAAGCTGGTAGAGGAGCTGTCGGATCCTGTGCTTCTCTCCTGGGCTGTTGACATATGGCACCTTGTCCTCTGGCAGACAGGAGAAATACATCTGGACCTGGAGATGTGCATGAGTTTAAGCAGCTGAGCAAATTTAAAATATTGCCAGGCCTTTGTTCAGCTGTTTTTTGGCATTAAAGAATAAAGTAATTCACTGTCACCCAGGCATGGCAATATATGTCCTTCATTTGTAAATCTGTGGGTCAAACACGTCTATCTGCATCCACTCACATGCGCCTGACTGTAAAATCTCCTCACACACAAGGAGACAGCACGAGACTGTAAATGTTAATGTTTGGCTCTGTTAATTTCCTTTGACAGGAGGCAACGGAAACCTGAGCTAAAAGTGTTTGTAGCTGTGCATGTCCATGAAGAGGAGAAAAGAAACGTAGCAAAACATTTACTGACCATCATCAGATTAATGTAAATGTCTTGAAGAGGTCCTTCACTCATATCTTAATACATCTGAAGCGGTCTCTAGTAGGAATGAATACCTTGTAAGTCGTACTCCTGACGAAAAAAGCTCTAGCACACTGTTTCAAAAACTAGAGGTGTTTCTCAATGTCAAGGTGCCTGGCCTCACAAGGCAACATCTTGCTTACATCTTGCCCTTCCTTGGTCAGAGAATGGTTAAATGGAACAAACTTGCATCACGACTTCCACGGCGGTCGCGTTAAGTCACGTGACACAGGAGATAATGTAATATTTTATACGTATATGTTTCAGCATAACAAGCTTTTTACTTTTTAAATTGTGTATAATTGGTTAAATTAAAGAGACAATGAGTAGTTTTTACCATAATTTCTGGAAATTTCCATCAAAATATTGTTGAAAATGAATTAAATGATGCCCAGTTGTTGAAAAATATTGGCAGCTTTGTAACATATAACCGTAAAAATCTGGTCAAAAATACATGGAAGCGGGCCTAACTCTCTGGACAACACCACATTAGATGCCACGTTTCCTACTACGGGAGCCCATGAGGACAAACTGTATTTACTGATTTGTAACAAACAGTCAAAAAACTTTCATGATTCTTAAATGTTGTTGTTTTACACATTTACCTTCACTTGTTGCCAGTAATGAAAGGGAGTCTGATATTCTTGTCATTTTGCTGAAGTTTGCACTCCTCAGGGCTTTGTGACCCTAATGGGCATCCGTTGGTAAGGTCTTACTCAACACAAAAGTACTGCTTGCTTGCAACGATTTACACTGTCCCGTATCGTCAGGAAAAATACACACTGTCACTTAAAATATGTAAGCAAGTTACTACCTGCTAGCCACCAAAGTGAGACGTCTGGTCTTCAATCAGCCAAAAAGAGCACACGTCACCCCTCTGTTCATTGAGCTCCACTGGCTACCGCTAGCTGCACGCATCAAATTGAAATCGCTAACAATAGCATACAAAGTCTGAGATGGTACGGCTCCCATCTACCTGAATCCTCTTGCAAAGGCTTACGTCTCGGCCCGGCCGCTCTGGTTATCACAGGATCGTCAGCTAGCAGTGCCTACACCACGCTCAGGACAATCCAGACTTTTCTCATGCATCGTTCCACAAATGTGGAATGACCTACCAAGCACTACCAGAACAGGGGCTTCCTTTTCGACTTTCAAGAAACTCCTGAAGACCCTGCTCTTCAGAGAGCATCTTCTAAACTAGCACCTCCCTGCACCCGTCCCCCCTCTCTACTGTCCACTCCTTGTTCCCTCCTCTCCATGATTCATCATGCTGCCTCACTGTCACCTACGACTGACTGGAAATTGTTTGTTGTTGTTGATGTTATTGTTGTTGTTAGCCTCAAGGGAAACATGCCGATTATCACTTGTAAGTCGCTTTGGACAAAAGCGTCTGCTGAATACATAAACATAAACATAAACAAAGCTGTAACTACTAAGCAACTAACCATCCATAGCTAACTGCTTTGGATATGAAAAACATTTTAGATATCAGCCCGGTGGCTACAATTAGTTGACTTATATTTAAACTGGAAATTTGCCCCCGAAGTAGCTGTCGGCTTCTGATCTGCCATCCTTTTGGCAGCGCGGCGTATTCTGGGAAATTTTTGACCAAGGCTAGGCTACAAGACACCTCCCGTGTATCCTTACTCAGCTAGCTAAACGGCTTACAAACAGACGCCTCGGTAGAACATGAACATTGGAACACGCCTTGGTGGTTCCTGATGACGTATCTCCTAGGCAACCGGGGCGGGGCCAAGACGTCAAGGCAAGGTTCCTTGACACTGAGAAACACCCTAGGAGATTGCCAAATTGGAGGAGAGATCCAGACATCTTATTTCCTGATATTTGGACATCTCACCTCTGATTGGCTAACATCAACTCGACTCTACCACTGACTCCGTTTGCTCTGCAACTTTGATGTTTTATCTCCACAAATAACACAAGCCTGAAGCTAACAGTTAGCTTCAACTAGCCTGAAACATTCTCTGCTGTTTCCTGGATGCTAAACTAACAACAGCCTTCCTTGTCGAGAGCCACGATGGGTGAGTCCATGAATGATATGTGACAGTGTGACGTAGATCTGTCAGGCTTTTCTAATTCTAGAGTTTCAACGTCTATTTTCTATCAGAAGCTAATGCAGGAGATAGGTGTAGGACATAATTTTCATGTTCAGCCTGCCAAACATTTTCTCAGTGAAGGACTTCTTTAAGAAATGCAGAAAAATGGGAATAAATAATCCACCCATATGGCATGATGTTTCCAGCTGAGATTACATGTACATTTCAATAAATAATTGTGAAAGAAAAGCTCTACCTGCTCAGGTCTGAGTCCTGATGGCACCCAGGCATACTCCTCCAAAGCACACCCAGAGTCATCATCAGATGTGGAGCTTCTCTGGAATCCCACTGACATCTTGCCCATGTTTCCCCCCGCACGGGCCTCCATGTCTGGCCCTCGAGCTACAGGGCGCTCCCTTCTGTCACTGCGCTCCAGGTTCATTGCAGTTGGGCGCTGTTTGGAAAAATTAAAGCTTTAGAATTTATATTTGTCTAACTTTTGCCTTTCATTTCTTCTCCCTCCTTTTCTTGCTTAAATATTTTTATTTAATTACATGCTTACAAAGCTTTACCATCTCGCCATTCATTGGCTGGGATAATGCTGATCTTGGATTTATTTGCATTCATAGTAAATTCCTCTAGATTTTCTAAATGCCAGCAATCAGTCGGCTTCTCTACAATTTAAGTGCCTCTGTCCTGGCACTGTTGTAACAGTTTGACATAATGTCTGGAAAAACATGAGAGGAGCAGCAAATGCACACTGAGGAAAGTTTCTCCTCATTGCAACACAAAGTCAACTCAGTTAAACCGTTTGAGTGAACGTCAGAAGAAACTAATCTCTTGCAGGGGTGCGGATAAGAGGTGGACACCTCTGTGGCCATTGAAATGCGATGTTTTTATCAGATTTAGCCAAGGCTTGTATTCCAAATTCCTGTTGCTGTTCTAATCAGAGGTTCTGACTACACATTTACTTGATAGAACAGCAAAACTTACAGCCCGTGTTTACTTTCATTTTCAATTAAGTTGCCGACCAAAGCTTGGCATGAACTCCCTATGTCATTATGACACCTCCCTCTGTTGCACCAAGTCACAATCGCCGTTTATTTGACAGGCTGCAGTATTACTACCAAGAGAGGTGGAACAAATGCCGCAAAATTAATGCAACGCTATGCCAGCATGGCGCGTTTATAAAACTCACCGTTGCAGTAATCTAAAGCTTGGTTTATGCTTGACGCATTCACTTTCCGCGCGGTGATGCGGCTCGCGGCTGGAACGCGCTTCACAACTCGCAGTGTTTATGGTTTGTGCGGCTCGTCTCTGCGGTGAGCCAATATTCTCCCAAACTGAACGGGGCAGCATGGAGCTCTACAGCATGCATCCAACACTACACCATAGTAGAAGTAGAAATTACTGTTTACAACATGACATTTCAGCATTTTTAACAGCGCTCTCGTCTTTTCCGACAGTGCGAGCTATTTCTCTCCAAGAATTATTAACAACATGTTGATCACGGTGATCTCTGAGAGCTGAATCATACAAATGTCTGCATTTACGAACCTCTGCCGTGCCGGTCCGCCATGTTTTTCCGTGTCCGACCGTCCGCGGGGTTAGAAATTTTCCGAGGTGCGCATTGCGGAAATCTTGGGCCGTGCGGAGACGCGGTGGAGGGGCGTGGTTGTTAAAATGACGCAAAATGACGCAACTTTTCCGCGCGGAGCCGTGCGGACCTCGCGGACGCGTCAAGCATAAACCAACCTTTACGGTGATTTGATGGCACAGTGTGTCTTGAAAAAAAGGGCTAATAAAGGTCATTGCAATAGCATAAAAATGTGCTCTCTCCTAATTAAAACATGACTGAACTAATGCTGGGTTCATCAGGTATTGGTCCTGCAGATTGGTCCTGCAGACACTAACCAGCCTGTTATATTTACTACAGCGCCGATTGGAGATGTATCACATCCTTTTCTTGTCTCTCACACAGCCACGCTCTGCATTTGGTGGAAAACAAGCCGAAAGAATCAAATGTGGTTTAAGGGGACAAACAGCATAATTATAACTACCGTAAATCCTCTAATACAGGCCCGGGCCTGTATTTTACTCAAGCTCATCAAGCTCCAGGCCTTTATTGGAAGAAGGGCCAGAATTAGAGGCAGGCCTAAATTTCTATTCGAGTTTGGTTGGTTCGCTGGAATTTTTGACAATTAAAATTGCGCCCACATTTTCAAAGTTAAACACATTTTTTTTTAACAACGGTAGTTTCTGCTTCAGCCCTCTCCCCCCTTCCCCTGCGCAGCGGCCGCAAACTCACTGATGCGCCTGCAGCCTCTCGGAGTTCCTGCTGCTCTAAACATTAAAATAATTATTTCATTTTCTGTTCCTCACTTCTGATTACCTTCAATGGTGTCTGTTTGTTGCAACCAGCAGGTACAAAAACTAACTTGTTTTTATTTGACTATTTTTCTGTCTTGTCTCTGTTTATTATCTTCCTGCATCTCCTCTCAATACTAAAGAAAAACTGCTACCTGGGATCATATATATTCACCCTATGAGTTACCTTTGAACTGCAGTTCTAAAAGATCTACCGACCGCAAAAACAGCGGGGTGCGCGCTGTGCGCCGGTCACACGGGTGAGGTGCGTCACCGGAGGACAAAACAGGTGATGCGCCCCGCTCCACAGCAGCGAAAAGCATCAGGCACAAATAAGACAGAAAACATAAAAGGAAATGATCCGACATGAACGATCGCGTGTTAAATTAGTTTTTTGAGGTGGCGACACCTGATTTGATAATGTTACTGTGGCCGTGCTCAGGACACAGATGTCTGGAGCGCGTCAACGATCAGAGCTTTGCATGCGCAAGCTGGTTAAGGTTAGGATGGGGTGAGGGGAAGGTTAAATTGCAAGAGGGTAAAGGTCACAATTTGGTTAAATGTCCGTTTTATGGCGGATGTCAGTGCCGACGCTCTGGCACAGCACGTTGCCCCCCTGACGCGCAGGAGCTTGTCACCTGCTGACAGCAGGCTGCTGTCTTTTCCGTGGACTGCATCTTGCCGGTCATTATCACGTGACAGCGACTAGTCGATGACAGGCATAAAAAGTCACTATAGTGAAGTCGACTAGTTCATACAACCCCTATTGCTCCCCAGTGTTCTGCAGCATAATCAGCGCGTTCTCTTTGAACTTGATATCAAATTTTCGCCTCCTCTTCGTCTCCGCACGGTTAAAGTTACCCTCGCGGTCTATCACTGGCAAATCAAAAGTGAGACGGATGACACAACCCCCACCCCACCCCGTGGTACTTGCTTGTTACCACATCCCACCCGGCCACAATAAAAAACGGCCATTAATCACCTCCGCCGACTCTGACACCGGCTAAAACGTGATACCCGGCCATTAACTGAATACAGGCTAGAGGATTTACGGTAAAAGTTGGTATTTCCCAGTTTTCGTCGAAAATGTGAAAAATATTCCCTTTTAGCATTTTTTTTACCTTCCCAAAAAGAATGAGACAGTGAAAAATTTTTTTTAGATATGTCTAGGAACTCCACTTCTCTTTTTCAGCCCCTATGATTTACTTTAATTACTCCTGGTTTACCTTTTGTTTTGGGGGCGACACTGATTTTGTCATTATTCTTTGTGTTAAGATTTTTTTTTAACCGTCAAATTTCCTCGATTTGTCGCAGACTTTATCTTCCTCTTCATAGGGAATTATGAGGAGGAATTCGGAGCAGTGTGGTGAACTTCTAAGAAAAACACCAAAGAAAACATCTCAATCTATTTTCTTGGTCTTTCAATGACTAGTTTAGAAGGAGAAACATATTCAAATAGTAAATCATTTGCCTAAAGTTAGAACTCTACATACTGTCCATCTGACCGTTTTCACAGGCTTATTCACCCGGTTGTGGGGCTAGTGGAATAAAAGGCTTAAGCATAGTTAATGTTTCTGCATCTTGCTGGGTTCCTTCTATAGGAAACTTTTTTTCTGATTGGCTTAATGAACTGACCTGTATTGGAATGTTTCCTGTGTGAAGCGCCTTGAGACGGCTCCTGTCGTGATTTGGCGCTATATAAATAAACCTGAATTGAACTGAATATTTATTAATGAAGGATTTCGACTCTCTGAGTTAAAATGCATATATAAGAACAATAAACCGTGACACAATTATCCCACAGGAACCAACAAGCCTAAAAACTACACGTTTGTCCTAGAGCTGAAACAACTAATCGATTTAATCGATTATAATCGATTATTAAAATAGTTAACAACTTTTTTAGTCACCGATTAGTTGTTTAATAATCACATTTTACCGCATAAAGTCTATTTTTACCACAATCTGACATCGGTTACAATCTGTTAAATTTGCCGCCAGTGTGTGGCAGTAATGAGCCACTGATCTACCAGTGGAGCCGTAGAAGAAGAAACGAGCCAATAAGTGCCCTCGGTTTTCACGACGTAACACGTTACTGACGCGCATCTTGCTGTGAGAGATGGCGGCCGGCGGAACAAGAAGAAATACGGAAGAAACTGAAGAGAAACCCCGGACAAAAACCTCACGAGTTTGGGAGCACTTCACTCTAGATGCCATGAAAAGACGGGTGACCTGCAAAATATGCTAAAACCATCTAGCATGGCACGGAAGCACGACGTCCCTAAGTGAACATTTGAGACGAAAACATGTGGGGGCTGATGCAGCAACGGAGGAGCCAGCCCCGTAAGAAACAGAAAATAAACAAGCTAAATATAGTGGTCCATCACTACATGCAGATCAAATTTGGGACTTAGTGTTTTAGCTGAGTTCGTTATAGTGGATGTTAAACATGTTTTTTTGCCGCGTCAGTCTACGGTGTTCTACTTCTGATTGACTAGATGCAATCGTGAATCTCCTCCGTGTTGTGTATCATGCGCTTGCCAAATTCAGCACGTCTGTTTATAAGAATGTTCTCGTTAAGAGAAAAACGACACAAACCCATAACTATGTTCTTCATTCAAAAAAGGACAACTCCGTGGAGAAAAATATAGACGAGCTGTGTCCAGGTGAATATAACGCGGCATAGTTGTACGCTTTCAATTTTTAAATACAGGAGAAATTCAGAAAAAGTCATTTTTTTACTATTAAAAGGCTGTTTTACTATCTAACGCTGTAAAACGCCTCACAACACATTTTTATCAAAATAAATGATCACTGTATATTGTTAATTAATTCAAATAATATAATATTGATTTAGTGTTGTAGTGTGTGTGCTGCTTTATTTTATATGTGTACTTATTTCAGTTTATTTGTGTTTCTTATGCAGAAAAAAACAAGCAACGATGGACAACTACAAGGGGAACAAGACACTCACCCCCCAGCAATGCATACCACTTACAAACTCTATTCTAGATTCTGCATTATTTTTTTATGGAATTTACCTCTTATACTTTGATGCCAAAAAATTATTCTGGACTGATATTTTGC